GCACGCGTCTTTGGGTTAGCCGGCGTGTTGACAGACCCCGTACGTGGCCGGGTGCGTCCCGACGTATGAGTGGAGCTATGTGATTGTGTTTGGTGTGTTGAGATGGATGAAACCGTAGAATGTATGAATTTATATGGATGGAATGGTTGATTTGATATTAGGAGCCAGGATTGATAGGAAAGAGCTACGTGTGGCTTGATCCCTTAGTAGGGTACGTAGGCAGCCTGAAGTTACTAGGTGCAGCCACAGATTAGACCCCACTTAGGTGGTCTTATTGGGATTGGTTTGGACCTTGTTGTTGGTCCCAAAACTTGGTTGAATTGAGGCTTGTCCTGGGGACTAAGTGAGTGAAGGTGCGCGTGAGTAGATTTTGAAATTGTTATATGCAGGTTTGATGCATTAAGTTATTTTAAAAACAGTGTGGGCAGTCTGCTAGAATCATTTGAAGGCCGGAGGCCATTTATGTAAATTGCATGAGATTATATTGTGCGTGCTGCTGGTTGGGTTATAAAATGAGTTTTATGCAGGTGGAACTTTTGGGGAATATTCAATTTACAGGGGAGACTCTGCCGAATTTTCGGCAGAGAGTCTCGTGCCCTTAATCCTCTATGGTGAACGAGGACGTAGATTTAAGGAGTAAACCCGGCGTGGGTGTGATGCCGGGGTCTCCGCAGGGTTCGTCTCGGGTTCCGGGAAATTCGGGACGGGTCCTGTCAGCTTGGTATCAGAGCTTAGGTTCAATTTCTTGTGGACCCCACACCTTGTGTGCATCCTTAAGTTGTGGGATCATGATGGGTTCCGTCACGGGACGTCATCGTTTTGACGCAGAGGACTATTTGGCATGGGTGGATTTAGGATGTTGAGGATTACACTTAAGGGTGTCACGTTCCTAGAAACGTGTCTATCCAAATTGTCGCATCTCAATATCCTATGGAAGGAAATGGAGGAGCTGAAAATATTGAATCCGATGAGATGAAATTGTCAGAGGAAGTTGATGGACAAGTTACAAGGGAATGGAAGAGTTGTGAGTCCGACCAAGGAGGGTCGTGACAAATTAAGTTGGGAAGTAATAGTGTTGGATGAAGTATCACTTCACTCGCGTGGGCTTGAATGCCGCGATTGACAGGAGTGGAACCTCATGTTGCTAATTCTCGATTGTGTGCAGTGAGCACGTTTGAGCAGAAATCTTTCATCGGAATCAGAAATGGGTCATGGTAGAGAGAGGAAGATGATGATTACAATTCGGTAAAAATGATCCTTTCTGACATTCCTCTCAAAGAATCGTGTTGGCAATGTTGCTTATCGATTCTAAAGAAAGAAGGAAGATATCAACAAGTCAAGGAGTTTGGACTTCTCTTCATGGGAGAACTAGAAGAGAATCAAATCACAATGGAAGCGTTTAGCTTCCAGAGGAAGATTAAGCATTACCGCAGCTATTGAAGGATTTTCTTAGTGGAAGAAAGAGACTTCTCTTCTTCTGCTTGTTTGGATAGAGCTAATGGCTTAGCTGCCAACCTGGTTGTGGAGGATGAAGCATGGAAACCCGAGTAGTAGATGCGGGCCCAGCACCCACACCCTTTGGAGTGGCAGTTATGAAATTTCGGGGACGAAATTTTTATAAGGGGGGTAGTCTGTAACACCCCGACCCCAAATTATCCCATGTTTTAATTTATTTAAGTGGAATTGAGAAATTACCCGTGGGATAGGGGTATTTTAGTCATTTTCTTATCCGGAAGGAATTTGGGAATTCCGGTTGTACCGTTGCGTAGAGCACGGTGAGATGAGTCCGTAGACACGTAGTGGGCTCGAATCGGAGTTGTAACGAGAGAGATATGATCAAATGAAGCTCAGTGGCATAATCGTAAATATTTTGAAGTGGGATTTTTGGTTAAAAGACGGAATTGCCCCTGTCTCTCTCACACTCTCTCTCTCCCGCGCGTCGCTCTCTCTCTCCTCTGGTTCGCGACAGCCACCGTGGCCGACCAGGTTTTGGCCGGCCGTTCGCTCGTCCGGCCACCAAAGTCGACGGGGCCGGTACCAAAATGACCGGGCCGCCGTCCTCTTCCTACCCCAGCCAGGTCTCGCCGTCAGCCGTCGAGATTTCGCCGGAAAATCGAAGAGAAAAGCTCGGTTTCGCCCGAAACTTCGCCGGCTTCGTTCTCCGTCGTCCGGCCGCCATTTTTGGCGATCAAGGTATGGAAATTCATCCCTTCTGCATGATCTAGCTGATGGTTGGGTAGGATTGTATTGATTTTGAGCCTAGATCATCTGATTTTCGAGTTAGGGTTCGGCCGGATTTCGGGATGAGATTCCGGCCACTTCCGGTCAGTTTTTGGGGTACGTCCACGAACAAAAGTGACTCCAAATTAGGTGTATTACCTAGGGTAGGAGTCTGGGCTCACGATTTGGAAGTTTTCCGGCGATGGGTATCGCTTTGGACACCCACGCGCTGCCGGCGCGTGTGGCGGCGCGTGGGCACTGTAGCTGAGGGGCATTTTTGTCCCATTGTGATCCTCTCGATGTCACGAGCGCGCAGGTGTGCTCGGATCTCAATTTGGGTATCGTTAGAGTCCCGAACGGATATCGCATATCGCGTATTTTCCGGGTTCGCTGGGTTTGGACCGTTGGATGGTCCTGATATTATAATATGTTGATCTAGGTATTACCAGGATCGTGTAGGATTCGACGGATCGTAAAACGGAGTCCCGGATACTCCGGAAATGCCAACCCTGGGGTTAGGGTTTAAGTATCCGTCCGATTGTGCGATCGTGAGCAATCCGACCGTCCGATCTGGACCAAACTTGCAGGACATGTGTCCTAGAGCTTGTAGAACCTCTAGGAACTATCGGATCGGAATTTGTAGGTTGTGGGCCCCGCAGGCCCGTTTGACCCTAGGTTGACCGTGAGACTCCCGAGATAGTCTTACCTTTCCTTGAGGGTTAGGATGACCTTAGTGACAGGTCTTGAGCGCTGTTGAGTTAAATGGATATTGTGGGTTTAGGATATAAATTGGTGAATTTAAATGGGGGGAGTTTATGGAATATTTTGTTGGTTGATGTTATTGTATGATTAGAAATTATATGATATATTTAATTAATTGTGTGGACGTGTAATGATATATAAAGAGATTGAATGTTAGTTTACAGTGCTATACGCACTACCCCACGTACCCCTCATATTGTGATTAGGCTCAGGCCCAAGTGATGGTATAAGGGCTGGTGAGAATGTAGCCAGGCCCAGTGTGAGGTCGCACGCGTCTTTGGGTTAGCCGGCGTGTTGACAGACCCCGTACGTGGCCGGGTACGTCCCGACGTATGAGTGGGAGTTATGGTTGTGTGAGGGCTGGTGAGAATGTAGCCAGGCCCAGTGTGAGGTCGCACGCGTCTTTGGGTTAGCCGGCGTGTTGACAGACCCCGTACGTGGCCGGGTACGTCCCGACGTATGAGTGGGAGTTATGGTTGTGTGAGGGCTGGTGAGAATGTAGCCAGGCCCAGTGTGAGGTCGCACGCGTCTTTGGGTTAGCCGGCGTGTTGACAGACCCCGTACGTGGCCGGGTGCGTCCCGACGTATGAGTGGGAGATATGATTGTGTGAGGGCTGGTGAGAATGTAGCCAGGCCCAGTGTGAGGTCGCACGCGTCTTTGGGTTAGCCGGCGTGTTGACAGACCCCGTACGTGGCCGGGTACGTCCCGACGTATGAGTGGGAGTTATGGTTGTGTGAGGGCTGGTGAGAATGTAGCCAGGCCCAGTGTGAGGTCGCACGCGTCTTTGGGTTAGCCGGCGTGTTGACAGACCCCGTACGTGGCCGGGTGCGTCCCGACGTATGAGTGGGAGATATGATTGTGTGAGGGCTGGTGAGAATGTAGCCAGGCCCAGTGTGAGGTCGCACGCGTCTTTGGGTTAGCCGGCGTGTTGACAGACCCCGTACGTGGCCGGGTACGTCCCGACGTATGAGTGGGAGTTATGGTTGTGTGAGGGCTGGTGAGAATGTAGCCAGGCCCAGTGTGAGGTCGCACGCGTCTTTGGGTTAGCCGGCGTGTTGACAGGCCCCGTACGTGGCCGGGTACGTCCCGACGTATGAGTGGGTGATATGATGGTATAAGGGCTGGTAAGAATGTAGCCAGGCCCAGTGTGAGGTCGCACGCGTCTTTGGGTTAGCCGGCGTGTTGACAGGCCCCGTACGTGGCCGGGTACGTCCCGACGTATGAGTGGGTGATATGATGGTATAAGGGCTGGTGAGAATGTAGCCAGGCCCAGTGTGAGGTCGCACGCGTCTTTGGGTTAGCCGGCGTGTTGACAGACCCCGTACGTGGCCGGGTACGTCCCGACGTATGAGTGGGAGATATGATGGTATGATGGCTGGTGAGAATGTAGCCAGGCCCAGTGTGAGGTCGCACGCGTCTTTGGGTTAGCCGGCGTGTTGACAGACCCCGTACGTGGCCGGGTGCGTCCCGACGTATGAGTGGAGCTATGTGATTGTGTTTGGTGTGTTGAGATGGATGAAACCGTAGAATGTATGAATTTATATGGATGGAATGGTTGATTTGATATTAGGAGCCAGGATTGATAGGAAAGAGCTACGTGTGGCTTGATCCCTTAGTAGGGTACGTAGGCAGCCTGAAGTTACTAGGTGCAGCCACAGATTAGACCCCACTTAGGTGGTCTTATTGGGATTGGTTTGGACCTTGTTGTTGGTCCCAAAACTTGGTTGAATTGAGGCTTGTCCTGGGGACTAAGTGAGTGAAGGTGCGCGTGAGTAGATTTTGAAATTGTTATATGCAGGTTTGATGCATTAAGTTATTTTAAAAACAGTGTGGGCAGTCTGCTAGAATCATTTGAAGGCCGGAGGCCATTTATGTAAATTGCATGAGATTATATTGTGCGTGCTGCTGGTTGGGTTATAAAATGAGTTTTATGCAGGTGGAACTTTTGGGGAATATTCAATTTACAGGGGAGACTCTGCCGAATTTTCGGCAGAGAGTCTCGTGCCCTTAATCCTCTATGGTGAACGAGGACGTAGATTTAAGGAGTAAACCCGGCGTGGGTGTGATGCCGGGGTCTCCGCAGGGTTCGTCTCGGGTTCCGGGAATTCGGGACGGGTCCTGTCAGCTTGGTATCAGAGCTTAGGTTCAATTTCTTGTGGACCCCACACCTTGTGTGCATCCTTAAGTTGTGGGATCATGATGGGTTCCGTCACGGGACGTCATCGTTTTGACGCAGAGGACTATTTGGCATGGGTGGATTTAGGATGTTGAGGATTACACTTAAGGGTGTCACGTTCCTAGAAACGTGTCTATCCAAATTGTCGCATCTCAATATCCTATGGAAGGAAATGGAGGAGCTGAAAATATTGAATCCGATGAGATGAAATTGTCAGAGGAAGTTGATGGACAAGTTACAAGGGAATGGAAGAGTTGTGAGTCCGACCAAGGAGGGTCGTGACAAATTAAGTTGGGAAGTAATAGTGTTGGATGAAGTATCACTTCACTCGCGTGGGCTTGAATGCCGCGATTGACAGGAGTGGAACCTCATGTTGCTAATTCTCGATTGTGTGCAGTGAGCACGTTTGAGCAGAAATCTTTCATCGGAATCAGAAATGGGTCATGGTAGAGAGAGGAAGATGATGATTACAATTCGGTAAAAATGATCCTTTCTGACATTCCTCTCAAAGAATCGTGTTGGCAATGTTGCTTATCGATTCTAAAGAAAGAAGGAAGATATCAACAAGTCAAGGAGTTTGGACTTCTCTTCATGGGAGAACTAGAAGAGAATCAAATCACAAATGGAAGCGTTTAGCTTCCAGAGGAAGATTAAGCATTACCGCAGCTATTGAAGGATTTTCTTAGTGGAAGAAAGAGACTTCTCTTCTTCTGCTTGTTTGGATAGAGCTAATGGCTTAGCTGCCAACCTGGTTGTGGAGGATGAAGCATGGAAACCCGAGTAGTAGATGCGGGCCCAGCACCCACACCCTTTGGAGTGGCAGTTATGAAATTTCGGGGACGAAATTTTTATAAGGGGGGTAGTCTGTAACACCCCGACCCCAAATTATCCCATGTTTTAATTTATTTAAGTGGAATTGAGAAATTACCCGTGGGATAGGGGTATTTTAGTCATTTTCTTATCCGGAAGGAATTTGGGAATTCCGGTTGTACCGTTGCGTAGAGCACGGTGAGATGAGTCCGTAGACACGTAGTGGGCTCGAATCGGAGTTGTAACGAGAGAGATATGATCAAATGAAGCTCAGTGGCATAATCGTAAATATTTTGAAGTGGGATTTTTGGTTAAAAGACGGAATTGCCCCTGTCTCTCTCACACTCTCTCTCTCCCGCGCGTCGCTCTCTCTCTCCTCTGGTTCGCGACAGCCACCGTGGCCGACCAGGTTTTGGCCGGCCGTTCGCTCGTCCGGCCACCAAAGTCGACGGGGCCGGTACCAAAATGACCGGGCCGCCGTCCTCTTCCTACCCCAGCCAGGTCTCGCCGTCAGCCGTCGAGATTTCGCCGGAAAATCGAAGAGAAAAGCTCGGTTTCGCCCGAAACTTCGCCGGCTTCGTTCTCCGTCGTCCGGCCGCCATTTTTGGCGATCAAGGTATGGAAATTCATCCCTTCTGCATGATCTAGCTGATGGTTGGGTAGGATTGTATTGATTTTGAGCCTAGATCATCTGATTTTCGAGTTAGGGTTCGGCCGGATTTCGGGATGAGATTCCGGCCACTTCCGGTCAGTTTTTGGGGTACGTCCACGAACAAAAGTGACTCCAATTAGGTGTATTACCTAGGGTAGGAGTCTGGGCTCACGATTTGGAAGTTTTCCGGCGATGGGTATCGCTTTGGACACCCACGCGCTGCCGGCGCGTGTGGCGGCGCGTGGGCACTGTAGCTGAGGGGCATTTTTGTCCCATTGTGATCCTCTCGATGTCACGAGCGCGCAGGTGTGCTCGGATCTCAATTTGGGTATCGTTAGAGTCCCGAACGGATATCGCATATCGCGTATTTTCCGGGTTCGCTGGGTTTGGACCGTTGGATGGTCCTGATATTATAATATGTTGATCTAGGTATTACCAGGATCGTGTAGGATTCGACGGATCGTAAAACGGAGTCCCGGATACTCCGGAAATGCCAACCCTGGGGTTAGGGTTTAAGTATCCGTCCGATTGTGCGATCGTGAGCAATCCGACCGTCCGATCTGGACCAAACTTGCAGGACATGTGTCCTAGAGCTTGTAGAACCTCTAGGAACTATCGGATCGGAATTTGTAGGTTGTGGGCCCCGCAGGCCCGTTTGACCCTAGGTTGACCGTGAGACTCCCGAGATAGTCTTACCTTTCCTTGAGGGTTAGGATGACCTTAGTGACAGGTCTTGAGCGCTGTTGAGTTAAATGGATATTGTGGGTTTAGGATATAAATTGGTGAATTTAAATGGGGGGAGTTTATGGAATATTTTGTTGGTTGATGTTATTGTATGATTAGAAATTATATGATATATTTAATTAATTGTGTGGACGTGTAATGATATATAAAGAGATTGAATGTTAGTTTACAGTGCTATACGCACTACCCCACGTACCCCTCATATTGTGATTAGGCTCAGGCCCAAGTGATGGTATAAGGGCTGGTGAGAATGTAGCCAGGCCCAGTGTGAGGTCGCACGCGTCTTTGGGTTAGCCGGCGTGTTGACAGACCCCGTACGTGGCCGGGTACGTCCCGACGTATGAGTGGGAGTTATGGTTGTGTGAGGGCTGGTGAGAATGTAGCCAGGCCCAGTGTGAGGTCGCACGCGTCTTTGGGTTAGCCGGCGTGTTGACAGACCCCGTACGTGGCCGGGTACGTCCCGACGTATGAGTGGGAGTTATGGTTGTGTGAGGGCTGGTGAGAATGTAGCCAGGCCCAGTGTGAGGTCGCACGCGTCTTTGGGTTAGCCGGCGTGTTGACAGACCCCGTACGTGGCCGGGTGCGTCCCGACGTATGAGTGGGAGATATGATTGTGTGAGGGCTGGTGAGAATGTAGCCAGGCCCAGTGTGAGGTCGCACGCGTCTTTGGGTTAGCCGGCGTGTTGACAGACCCCGTACGTGGCCGGGTACGTCCCGACGTATGAGTGGGAGTTATGGTTGTGTGAGGGCTGGTGAGAATGTAGCCAGGCCCAGTGTGAGGTCGCACGCGTCTTTGGGTTAGCCGGCGTGTTGACAGACCCCGTACGTGGCCGGGTGCGTCCCGACGTATGAGTGGGAGATATGATTGTGTGAGGGCTGGTGAGAATGTAGCCAGGCCCAGTGTGAGGTCGCACGCGTCTTTGGGTTAGCCGGCGTGTTGACAGACCCCGTACGTGGCCGGGTACGTCCCGACGTATGAGTGGGAGTTATGGTTGTGTGAGGGCTGGTGAGAATGTAGCCAGGCCCAGTGTGAGGTCGCACGCGTCTTTGGGTTAGCCGGCGTGTTGACAGGCCCCGTACGTGGCCGGGTACGTCCCGACGTATGAGTGGGTGATATGATGGTATAAGGGCTGGTAAGAATGTAGCCAGGCCCAGTGTGAGGTCGCACGCGTCTTTGGGTTAGCCGGCGTGTTGACAGGCCCCGTACGTGGCCGGGTACGTCCCGACGTATGAGTGGGTGATATGATGGTATAAGGGCTGGTGAGAATGTAGCCAGGCCCAGTGTGAGGTCGCACGCGTCTTTGGGTTAGCCGGCGTGTTGACAGACCCCGTACGTGGCCGGGTACGTCCCGACGTATGAGTGGGAGATATGATGGTATGATGGCTGGTGAGAATGTAGCCAGGCCCAGTGTGAGGTCGCACGCGTCTTTGGGTTAGCCGGCGTGTTGACAGACCCCGTACGTGGCCGGGTGCGTCCCGACGTATGAGTGGAGCTATGTGATTGTGTTTGGTGTGTTGAGATGGATGAAACCGTAGAATGTATGAATTTATATGGATGGAATGGTTGATTTGATATTAGGAGCCAGGATTGATAGGAAAGAGCTACGTGTGGCTTGATCCCTTAGTAGGGTACGTAGGCAGCCTGAAGTTACTAGGTGCAGCCACAGATTAGACCCCACTTAGGTGGTCTTATTGGGATTGGTTTGGACCTTGTTGTTGGTCCCCAAAACTTGGTTGAATTGAGGCTTGTCCTGGGGACTAAGTGAGTGAAGGTGCGCGTGAGTAGATTTTGAAATTGTTATATGCAGGTTTGATGCATTAAGTTATTTTAAAAACAGTGTGGGCAGTCTGCTAGAATCATTTGAAGGCCGGAGGCCATTTATGTAAATTGCATGAGATTATATTGTGCGTGCTGCTGGTTGGGTTATAAAATGAGTTTTATGCAGGTGGAACTTTTGGGGAATATTCAATTTACAGGGGAGACTCTGCCGAATTTTCGGCAGAGAGTCTCGTGCCCTTAATCCTCTATGGTGAACGAGGACGTAGATTTAAGGAGTAAACCCGGCGTGGGTGTGATGCCGGGGTCTCCGCAGGGTTCGTCTCGGGTTCCGGGAAATTCGGGACGGGTCCTGTCATTATAGATCCTCATACCTATCTGTATCATCACCTGCTCAACGAGCCTTAGGCATGTATGTGGCTTGGGCTCACTTAAACTTGTCGAGTGGTTTGGCACTAAAGGGAGTCGCTTGGCGTGGTATATTATTGCGTGTTTATGCTTGGGCTACATTGTATTGCAGGGGATTAGGGCTGTGTTAGATAATGCTTGACAATGCAGTGGGCTAAGTGAGCTCGGGCATGTGAAATTGTTAAACCTTACAGGTTTGCATTCCAAATTGGTAAACATGTACCATAACTTCCCTATGTGCCAAATTGTAGTCTAGCTTCGTAGCCGTACTTGATGGGCCTCCGCATATCCTATATAAGCTTCTTTTATAGCACGATAAGGCATTAGGCCTGAAATATACCTGGACCTTCCTTGAGAAATTTTTAGGCTCAATAAATATTATGATAGCATCCAGTTGATTTTCTTGAAAATGGTATCAAAGTTTGAAGGACTTGTAAAATGTAATTCATTTTGTACAGGTAACTTGTAAAGGTAAGATATACATGCCAAATGGCTATGGATTTGAATTGGTGGATACTCTTCTACTTTTCAATACTAATATTGTGCTTAGGGCGACTCTAGGATTTTAGGGTTCTGTACCAAAACAACAATAGGACCTCTTAAAAAACACTTCAACGAAAATACTGTAAAAAGAATTGGACCATATAATGATAGCATATTTATAAGTAAAACTCATCACCATATATATATATATATTTAATACTATAAAGGATTATTAAACAAATAATTCAATGGGAACGTAAAACCAAATCTTAGCGATCATTAAATTACTAGGTATCATTAAGCAATAAAAAAGACAGTAACATACAATAAACATCTATAAAAATAAAATAAAAATAGATAACTACATTTTACTCCCTTCAGGTTTAGGGTCATTATTGAAATAGGCCTTGAGGTTTCAATTTCATCAATATAAAATCCAACGTTTTTAATATGACCAGCACTCCATCAACTTCATCGTTTGATTTTCTGTTAAATTGGTGATGTGTAAAAGAAAATAATAAAGAAACTGGCAATGGCGTGTGTAATTTGACAACAATTAAAGAGAAAATCAAATGGTGAAGTTGACGGAGTGCGTAATTTGGTCATATTTAAAAACGATGGGTTTCATATTGATGACATTGAAACCTTGAGGCCCATTTCGATAATGACTCTAACTTGTTAGGTGTAAAACCTAGTTAATCCAAAAATAATAGGGTTAACTGTCGATTTACCCCTTGAACTTGTATGCTACTTTCAATTTGCACCATCATTTTATTTTTTGAAAAATTAAGTACACGAACTAATTTTATTACCAATTCCAATTACTATCTAAATCTTAACATTTCATCCAATTTTCTGTTAAATCATTAAAATAAACAAAAGAAAAAGAGAAAAAAAAACAAAAAAACAAAAAAAATCCTGGGGATTCACAGAGCCCTCCTCTGTTTTCTTCTCCCCTATGGCAACTCTCTCTCTCTCTCTCTCTCTCTCTCTCTCTCTCTCTCTCTCTCTCTCCCCCTTATGGTTTTACAATTACAACAAAAGGGAAGGCATAGGTGGAGTGGGTGGCCCCTCTGTTTATTAAAATGGTTTTATTTATTTATTTTAGGTTTTAGATTATTTTATTTTATAATATTTAATTATTTTAACATATAAAATGACCAAATTGCCCTAACATTTAACAATACATTAGATGAATTGTTGAGATTTAGACGGTAAGGGGGAATTGACAATAAAAATTAGTTTGTGTACTTAATTTTCCAAAAATAAAAGTTGAGGATGCAAATTAAAAGTAACGTATAAATTTAGAGGGTAAATCGATAGTTAACCCTAAAGAATTGTTGTTGAATTTTTTGCCCCACTCCGTGTTACATAAGAAAAACCAATGTTATTATATTAATATATCATGTGGCTGATGGGGCCTTCTTAAAGGTAGGGCCTTGTGCAAGTGCTCGCCTTGGACTTGCTAAGAGCCGCCACTCCTGAATTAATTATGGTTAAAACCACATCAGCTGAAGACCTAGTTGATTAAACAACAAAATTTATTCGTATAAACATATATATAAGCTTTCTTTTGGCAAAAAAACAAAAAACATATAAGCAATGGATTCAACTTCGAAAATGAATAAGACAATATTATTACTAATGTAAAAAATTCTTAAATTAATTGATCATGAAAATGACACGCAAGAAGCCGTCACATCTTGTAATGTATTCTTGATGTGTTAATGAAATCTTGTAATGTATTCTTGATGTGTTAATGAAATCGATTTTCTCAAAAAAAGAAGAGTAAGAATTATGCTGTGATTATGAAGGCTTTCATTTCCTGTATGAATTTCTTCTGTACTTCGGTCGACTATTATATATAGTATTTTGCAGCCACCATCCTCAATTTATACACCAATAGCTCTCTCTCTCTCTCTCTCTCTGCCTATAAATATGTCCACAGGCTAACTTGGTTTTTACAACAAAAAATCCCATTCCTCTCATTGCTTCTTATTCCTCACTGCTCCACAGCCATGAACACATTTGAAAAATCTCAGATTCTGTTGTTGTCTCTGCTAGCAATTCTTCTCACCATTGCACCTTTATTGTCCTCATCACAAAGGACTCCTTATCTCTATGTCATCACTAACCTCGTCATTGTTGCCCTCGGAGCACAAGCTGGCCTTCTCTCAGCCTCTTCCAAGCCTTCAGATCATGACAAAAAGAAAGGTACGATTTCTGCTGCTCACAAACCTGTGATTGCCCCAGAATTAGCCTACTCCTCAGATAAATGGTTTCTTGCGCATAATGATGAAGATCAAAGGGTTGCTTCAAAATGTACTGAAAAGAAACCTATGGTTGTTGAGCTTGAGAAGACCCTGTCTGAGAAGATTGTTGGCAGTGTGAAAATGGAGAGTGTGAAAAAGTGTCCTTCCATGCCTAGCCTTTTCTTCATAGGGGACGGTGAGGCTGATCAAGGAGATCTTGATGAGGTAACTGATTATAACCATGAAGTGGAGGAAGAAGAAGAAATAGTGGAGCTTAGTGGACCAGAACTTTTTGCCAAAGCTGAGACCTTAATTGGGAACTTCTACAAGCAGTTGAAGATGCAGAGGGAAGAGTCATGGAAAAAGATTCATGGGTCTTATCAGAAAGCCTTCTAAAGCTTTGCTCTTCCTGCTGATATCTTATAATCTTACTATAATATTTTTGTCATATAGTATCGTTGGTTTTGGGGAATTTGATTGATCAGAGGGGGAACCATGTCACTGAATTCATGGTTCTTCCTTTGATTAATTGGGTTTGTACCGAACTGATTTTACTGTCATATATTATGAGTTCCTTGTATATTAAAATCTCCATTGTTCAAAAATCTGTAAGCAACTTGGAAGAAGGTGCATGCATGTTGGCTAAACAATAGCCACACAAATGAATGAAGATTACAAGAGCAATCTAGCTAGAAGACTGTACAAAAGATAATGGCTGGAAACAATGGACTATGTCGGCAAATCGCAGTGAATAATGAAGAATATTCTAGAACAAGGACTAGTGGCTTATAATGATATGGTGATGTTCCATGGCGGGGGAACAGAGTCGGCAATCTCCAATATAAATAGGCATGCAAGTAACAATAATAAAAGGTAGAGCTACAAAGATGGAGCCAAGAGCTCAAGTTAATGCCAATAGCCTAGTTCTAGTTCATCAACTAAAGTGTCACTGTCAAGCCACCAATAGATACGCAGCCAAGGGCCAATAGCGTAGAGTCACGAGTGAAGCGCAATAGCCTAGAATCCTATAAATCTATGTACACAAATCCATGTACTATTTTCCTTCATTTTAATAAAGTCACTTTGTTTCAACTATTAACTATTGTCCTATATTGTTCTATACTTAAATCCCTTCACCTACGAACCAGACGCGACGCCCCTTATCATTATCATCTACGGGCCAACAATAGCCACACAAATGAATGAAGATTACAAGAGCAATCTAGCAAGAACTGTACAAAAGATAATGAAAGGTGGAGCTTCAAAGAGAGCTATCCACTCTAAGCAGGAAGCTTGGAGCCAAGAGCTCAAGCTAAGGCCATTAGCCTAGTTCTAGTTCATCAACTAAAGTGTCAAGCAGCATAGTTACACAGTTGCGCCAAGGGCCAATAGCGTAGATTCATGAGTGAAGCGCCGCCAATAGCCTAGAATCCTATAAATCTATGTACACAAATCCATGTACTATTTTCCTTCATCTTTAATAAAATCACTTTGTTTCAACTATTCACTATTGCCCTATTGTTTTATGGGTCATGCTAGGGAAACCAACTTTAGATACCAACTTGTGTAGCATCTCTCTAATAGAGGCAGAGCCCACCAATACAATAGGTTTCACACTCTATTAGAGAGATGATACACAAGTTGATATTTAAAGTTGATCTCATATGCCGCCCTTTATCATTATCATCTACGGGCCAATAACGGTATCAGAGCAATACACTCTGAACTCCAACATTGCAAGCTGGAAATTTGCAGTTACTATTGCTATCAGTTCAGTGGCATCTTTTGTCATAATTGTTTCAGTCTTAATACTCGTCCGCAATCCAGGATCTATTGACATCAGTGATAATTATTTCTTGTTATAATATTATATGAAGGCAAGTGGGCATGCATGCAAGAACATTATTTCTACCATTTGAAAATTTGTTTGCGTGCAAGTGAATGCCAAACAGGCAAGCAGTGACCAAATATTTGGCCATATCTATCTCCACTACCATAAACTTGCATTTAAAAGTAAAAATCTGAGCAAAGGACCCACTAATGGAGTGGTTTGGAGCAATTGCTTCTTTAGATAAGGTTCTGGGTTCGAATCCTAACATACGTGTAGTGTGTGTAAGTCTAGTACATTATCATCCCTCTCAATAGGAAATGTCTTAAAAAAAAAGAAGTAAAAACCTGAATTCTGTTTTACAAGAATATAAAAATAACTAGTGTTGAAGAAGAGGACATGATGCTGTTGAGAGTTTTCTGTTTACTAGCTAGTGTGCTAAATAACCTCAATTCATCTCATATCATCAACAATTCCATTTGATTTTCCATCGAAAAGGAAAAAAAGAAACTGATATCCAATTGTAAAGTCTAACAAATTATTTGCAACCATTTTCTTACCAAAAAAGAAGTAGATATATATATTTCTTGGAAGAATCACGATTGGTGTTGCTAGCTAGCCAATAGTGTGCTATCCATCAAAAAAAAAAAAAAAAAAAAAAAAAAAAAAAAAAAAAAAATATATATATATATATATATAAGGACAACGAAAAGTGATTAAAATGTTTATTGTTTTCCCTCAAAAAGATTGATGGTAACACTTCCATGCTATCTGTCGAAACTCCCCACCTGCTCTTGGAGTGTTGTGTGTGGGGTGTCAATAGCCTGGAAAATATCTCTTGGTGTGTCAAGTTTTTTAAGATTTTTGTCTTTTTGTATTTTAATTATTTCCCTTTCTTTGTATATAAAAAGATAAAAACAAAAACAATATCAATACGCATGTAATGGACTACTTGACATTATCAAATGCACGTTGGAACTTTACAAAAGCACACTCAACCTAAAATGACTTAAACCAAAGACTCATTTGGATGATTGGATGTGAACCTTTGGATTGGATATATGAATCATTCTGTTCTTGTCATTCAGAGTTTATTCCAAATTAAGTATCAGATCGTGCTCCTACGTACCTAACATACAACCCTAATTCTAGATTTTGGTTTGATACATATTATAGTATAGGACCCCATATTATATGCTTAACAATACAACTGACAAACTTCTACGAAGCAAATACATTATATAATACCCAGTATAAAATAATTATAGAGTCCAATAACATCCACATCTAATCACGTGACTTCTTACCACTTTTGTCCCTCTCTCCTCCTCCTCCCCCCCTTTTTTTTCTCTTTTCCCTGGGCTTGTTGATTCCTTCTCTAATCACATATATCATGCTTAACAACTCTACAACTGACGAACTTTTACGAAGCAAATACATTATATAATACGAGGGAATAGTCCAAGATAAGCATGATATATGATCATTTTAGCTGGGAACCATTTAATTATTATGCTTGGTGGTTTGGGCAACGTATTTTACTTATTTTCAGCCACTCACAAAGATATAGGTTGTTCACCAAAAAATTTAATATCCAACCTTCCTTCAATGAAAGGACTTTGTTCAGGCAAATAATTGAACACTTGGAATATTTTCAACATTATTCGTAACCTTGTAGAGAATCATCAAGCACCGTCGGTTCTTTTGCTTTCAAAATTGAAGACCACCCATAACGAGAATCTTGCTTAATTATTTGGAATAAATAAGGAAAATAATTACTATTTTATTTGACATCAAAAACCAACGATCCTCAATTGAATTTCGTCTACTTATCACGACAATTCAAGAGATTTAAAGTTAAGAAAACAAGTTGATATGGGCTTAGTTAAGTTGGTTAGAGCGGATGTGCTTCCCACTTTGCACCCGAGTTTGAATCCCGTCTATTTATCACGCCATTACAATAATAGAGCGGTCTCACGCACGATTGTAGAAACTCTGGCATACGCATCCCAACTAAGATCCCAAAGAAGCCGCTCCCCGTAGTTTAGATTAGATTAAAGTAGATTATCGCTCACAATCGAAGAAACTCTAGCCTAGGCATCCCAACTAAGATCCCAAAGAAGCCGCTCCCCGTAGTTTAGATTAGATTAAAGTAGATTATCTCTTGTATTAAAAGCAAAAAGAGGTTAAGAAAACGAAGGACATTCATAAAAGCTCTTTCTTCAGCAAACCCATAGATGTGGGTCCCAAGCTCATAGGCCACAAGGTTACTTTGTACGAGTCATTTTATGGTGAGGGTGTCATATATGGACTACAGATGTGTATCTCCATATTAGTCACATGATTCATTTGAATAGTAACTTCACTTAAGTTTAATGAAATGATCCTATGGCTAATATGAAGGTTCACATGAGTGGTTTATATATGACACATTCATTATAGAATGTCACTACTTTGTACATGGAAATAAAATTGGATCTTTCAGAGAATTGGGTTTTGAGTTTTATTCTTCTTTCGTTGTTGTTAATGTTAAACAATTAAATTGCAAAATTTATTAAAAATGAATTTATCATTTGATATAGTAATTATGAAAAAAAATATAGAAAATTTGGGATAAGTTCAAAATTGATGAGAACATAAATTGGGTTTAATCCTTGCATTTTGTTGCTGTTGATATAAGTCCTTTGACTTTTATGTCAAATAGGATTACATTCCTTTTTTGTATTTTCTGATGTAGATCTATTAATATTATTTTTGGTTAAATGCCTTTTTGGTCAAGGGGTTTTACACAAAAATTCAATTTGGTCACTCAGAAAAAAAATTAGCCAAATTGGTCATTGTGTTTCCCAAAGTTTAAAATTTATAGACATTCCATTATCTTCCTTTAACTTCCATTTAGTGCAATTTTTATTTATTTTGTTTAGGAAACCCATTCAGTCTTCTTCCTCTAACTCAACGAGTTATGGTATATTGTGCTATTTGTTGTAAATGCTTGAGTTGGTAGATGACCACCATATCTCTTAGTATTCCACCGTTGGATTTTATGTAACCTATGCATTAAGTATTTGTAATTAGTGCTTGTAACCTATAGGTATATTGTAAATGATGGTATTCAATCTCCTATCTTGTAAGCCTATAAATAGGTGGTTCTACCAAAGATTAAGTGGAGAATAAACATGGTGAAACTTTATCTTTAGCATATCACTTCTCTCTACATTTTCTCCCTCTAGTTTTATAACACGTTATCAGCATGACATTGCTCTTAGTATGTTTTCTTTCTCTGAATTTTCATTCTTCTTATATGAGCTAGAGTCATCACATGGTATAGAGTTTCTTTATACTCACCATCAGACTTCATCATGCTCGTTTAAGGAAAAAAATTTCTTATTCTTATTACACATGAATATAATGCCATGTTTTTTATATTTCTTTGTTTATTTAATTTTAAATATGATCTTAATTATTATGATGAGTTTGTATTATACAAAAGATTAGGGCCCGAAGTTCCTCGATCCTCATCATATAACTAGATTAGGACCTAGAGTTCTTTTGATTGAATCAGAACCTGAAGTTCTTTGATTCCAAATAATTGATGGCGTGAAGTTCCGCGAATTTAAAGAGCACATAAGGAAATGAAACTCCTCGATTTTGTATTAATCAAAATCAGAATTCCATGAGGCCTACATATGTCAAGAACCCGAACCATAAGTTTTGAGTGCATATACATCGATTTGAATATGAAGTTCAAAGCACAACTATTAATTCAATTTATTTAGATCTACTTATTCAAACATGAAGTTTCAAATATATATTGATATGAACTTGAAGTTCATAGTTTTTCATGGATCTTAATACTATACATGAACCTGAAGTTCATTACTTATTTGTGCCTATATAAACTTGAATTGGTTGGAAATCCAATTCTTACACTTCTAGTTTTATCTACATATTGAATCTACATTAATATTGGATTATCTTGAATTTCATAGTCTTTAATTAATTTATTTTATTCCTTGTTTATACCAATTTACTCATTTTATTTTATTGTATTTTATTTATGTTGGGTTATTAGTTAATTTCGTTTTACAATGGTAATGTTTTGTATTACCGCCCAAATATTGACAGCCAGAGGCATTTATTGGAGAAACTTCCTACTTTCTTTTGTGGATAGGAAGTTTATGATGTCATGAACCAGAAGTTTATGAGGCCCTAATATTACACAACTATTAAAGTAGTTGAAGATTATGACATTATGAACCAGAAGTTCATTGACCAGATAACTTTTATGTTGTGGCATGACTATCTTGGCAATCCATGTTCCACAATGATACATAAGATTTTTATAAATTTGTAAGGACATCGTTTAAAGACTCAAAATATTGTCTTGTCCAACAAATATCATTATAAAGAATGGTCACAAATAAAAGTTGTCATAAGATCATCTCAGTCAAAGATTGACTTTGAGCCATCTTTCCTGAAATAATTTCAAGGGGATATTTGTGAGCCTTTACAACATTTAATTATGGATCACTTCACCAGTTTTATTGAATGTGTGTACTAAAATGGTCACATATTTGTCTCTTGTCAAAACGCTCACGAGCACAACTCCCACATTATCCAATCCAGTCAATTTGAATTGATAATGATGGTGAGTTTATTTTCCTACATTTCGAGACAATTTTCTCGCCGTTAGGGGGAGAAATGACAATTCCTAAGGAATGTCGTGAAATAGTGTTGAATTGGTCCGCTTTTGTCTGATCAAGCTAATGCATATATAAAGTTATCAATATGCAAGCATGGATGATATTCATGTATCACAATCCATTAACATGGCAATAAGTGACTATATATAATGCATGCATGGAGCATGACAAAAATTTAGGTTCTAAAAACTTAACTCCCTAGAAGTGGAGATTATTTGAAAAATTCAAGCCCTATAAAACATAACGCTCTATATGAGGTTATGATCCACATATTCTAATTAATTCATCGTAAAAGAGATGTTTGTCCCATAAGTGACAACACTAGCCCCTGAAGAGGCATTGGTACCCCAAAGCAATGAGATGCTTATAAATTATGCATGCGCATGCACATGAGAATTGTGGGATCACGAATTGATGATACATTTGGTTTATTAGTAACTACTACAATTAAATCACGTTTCATGAATGTCGACAAGTTAAGTGATTGGCCAAAAATGGAAATAGGCAATTCCATTCATCACTAAATAAGAAGGGTTGGATATTGAATCTATAACTCAAACACCAAATTACAAATGTTAAGTATGAAGGTTACGAATTGGTGTTTGTGAAGTGAAATAAGATCACTAATATGACATAAGGTTTCCTGGTAGAGACATGGTTTTAGTCTCCCATCTCATCATAGATGCATCCACATTTCTATAAGTGTAGTTAGTATTTTAACGCGAAACTTATAGCATGTGTTAAATGCATATTTATTAAGACTATATGGTACACGGAAATCCTCAAAGCTCATGAAATACTTGAGATATATCGGATGAAGTGATCCCTTGAAGGATATAAAGTACCACAATATTCTTAATTAAGAGTTTGAGTATTTTGAATTCAAATTTGATATTGTTGTAACATATTCTAACTATTAAATTAGTTGTTGATGCTCCTAAAGATTTCAATCATTTGAAAAGTGAAAAGCAGGTCGAATAGTGTGATAGACGATCATGTATAAAAACAATGTTGCTTGTATTGCCCAAATCAGAGAAGGGGAGATATTAATCAAGGGGAGCATCCCAATTCTACTACATACAGGACATATGTGCGTTGTACTTTTTTCCCTTCGACTAGGTTTTGTTCTACTAGGTTTTTCCTAGCAAAGTTTTAACGAGGCAACATAAGCGTATCCAACACCATATCAATGATCCAGAAGAAAGTTTCACTCATTTTCCCTTCGCTTTGGTTTTGTCCCACTGGGTTTTCCAAACAAGGTTTTTAATGAGGGAACTATGTCAGTGTATGGTGGACGTCCAAGGGGGAGTGTTGTAAATGCTTGAGTTGGTAGATGACCACCATACTTCTTAGTATTCCACCGTTGGATTTTATGTAACCTATGCACTAAGTATTTATAATTAGTGCTTGTAACCTATAGGTATATTGTAAATGATGGTATTCAATCTCCTATCTTGTAAGCCTATAAATAGGTTGTTCTACCAAAGATTAAGTGGAGAATAAACATGGTGAAACTTTATCTTTAGCATATCACTTCTCTCTACATTTTCTCCCTCTAGTTTTATAACACTATTAGCGTTTAACAAATTGAGGGAAATATTGGGTTGAAATCGAAAGTGTGAGTTACAAGGTCACATATTGGATGCTATATTGAAGCTTGAATTGTTTGAGTGAGAACCACATTGTGACTCATATGGCAAGAAGACGTAATTAAGGTTATATAGAGCACCAAAATATTTTGGTAGGTATTTTAATTTTTTAATTTTGAGAATATATTGGTAAGTTGCTGATTTCATTTTAATTTTGTTTGGTTTTTCGATTTTCCTTATACCTCACAATTTCGATTTTAACCTAAGATTTCTCCCAATTTATAAACCCTAATTGAGTTATAGGAAGAAGGCTGGACGTGCTTCCTAAAACAAAATAAAAATAACAAATGCACTTAAAGGAATGTCTATAAATTGTAAATTTTGGGAAACACAGCTACCAATTTGGCTAAATTTTTTTCCTAGTGACCAAATTAAATTTTCGTGTAAAACCCAGTGACAAAAAAATTATTTAACCCTATTATTTTTAGATTATGTAGTTGTTCCTATTATGCCCTTGAAGGATAAATCTTATAAAAATTAATTTATAGGACAATAATTATGAGATTTTATTATGATTTTAATATAGGGATATACATAGGCTAATAAATCCCATAATTTTAGGACAATTTATTATTTTTGAGATGCAACTTCTCCTTGAATTTAACTTATAACCATCTGCACGTTTTTCTTTCTTGTTCTTTGTCTCCATCTTTTGCTTTCTTGTTCTTTGTTCTCCATTTCTTATTCCCTTCTTCTCCGTTCTCCATCTTCTTATTTTCTTCATCTATTTTTTTCTATGTTAAGATATCCATATTCTATGGTGTTGGTATATTGTCCTATTGCGCATAGGTATATGTTTTTTTTTTTTTTTTTTTTTTTTTTTTTTTTTTTTTTTTTGCATATTTTGTAATAGTAATAATAATATTATATACCTATTTTGTAGGCTTAATTATTGTTTCACTCCCTGGAACGGACACTCGGTCTCACTTTACCTCCTGAAACTGAAATTGAAATTTTCTCACTTAACCCCATGAATCACTTAAAATTGCTGAAATTTTCTCACTTTACAACTTCCGTCCATTTTGGTCCACAAAACCGTTAAGTGTGCTAACGTGGCATGGACATTTTAGTAATTTTAGCTCCTTGTGTGTGATGAGTAATTGAAAATGAGATTAAAATATTAAAATTTTTTTTTTTATTTTTTTTCTAAATAACTAAAAAAAAAAAAAAAAAAAAAAAAAAAAAAAAATCCATCAACTGCTCCCCATATTCTCTTCAGCAAACTTTGCCCTATACCCGCCCTTCCACAATGACAAACTTTCCCTCCTTATCCAACCAGCCCCAAAGGCCCAAAATTGGAAGCATTAGAAAGCTTGCAAATCGTAGTGGAGTTTCCTAGCTTGCAAAAATGGAATCCAATGCGAAATTTGGGCATGTGAGATGAGACCAATAACTTCATGCCTGTACAAGTTAGAATTTGGGCAACCATAGTCTTCACCTCTATTCTTGGCATGGCCCTAATCTAAGCAAGCACCGTCTCTATGTCTCTGCCTCACGATATGCCTCATCATTTGGGCCACGGTGTAATAACCCAAACCTTAATTAATATTTAACTATTAGTTTATTAAGAAAAAATGACACTTTTGCCCTTAGATTATTTTAGTAATTAAGAAGTTGACTTTTTGACCGGAGTTGAGTTTGGAAATTTTGTTTGCGCAGTTGCGTAGAGCGCAACGAAACGAGTCCGTAGACATGTAGTGGGCTCGATTTGGAGTTATAACGAAGAAATTACGGTCAAAATACTTCCAAGGGCAAAATGGTAATTTTCGAGATCAGGATTTTTTTTTAAACCACCGACTTTCTCTCTCCTGCCTCACTCTTCTTCCTCGCGACACAGCCCCCCCCTGTTTCAACCCGCCACCTTCTCTCCTCCATAACTACCGCCACCGTGAACCACCGGCCACGAGACCGGATCCGTTCGAACCGTCAGCCTTCCCCCATCACTTCCCGACCAGCCTCAGTCGTCGCCGACCTCGGAGCTCGTCGGAAACTGGAGAAAAACCCGCCGGTTTCAATCGAATTTCCAAGCTTTCGTTCTCCTTCGTCCGGCTACCAAATCGGACGATCAAGGTATGGATTCCTACCTATTTTTCGTGACTTAGCTGCTGGTTGGGTAGGATTTTAGAAATTTCAAGCATAGATCGTTCAATTCTCAACTTAAGTTTCAGCCGGTTTTGAGAGTGTGATTCCGGCCACTTCCGATCACTTTTTGGGGTAGGTCCAAGAACAAAAGTGGTTCCAAATTGGGTGTTTTACCTAAGTTAGGAGTTTGGGCCGGCGGTTTGGAGTTTTTCCGGCCGCCGGAAATTTCTCAAGCCACCCAAGCTGCCAGCGCGTGTGGCGGCGCGTGGGCAGTCTGGAGGGGACCACTCTCAGTTTCAGAATGATCCTCGTATTCTCACGAGCGTGTAGAAATTCGCGGATCTCAATTCGGACGTCGTTCGGACTTTTACATTGTGTGCGTTATCCGGGTTCAATAGTTTCGAACCGTTGGATCGTGATCACTTTCAGATCTGTTAATCTAGACCTTGCCAGGATTGTGTAGGATTCGACGGATCGTGAATCGGAGTCCCGGATACTCCGAAATCGCAAACCCTAGGATTAAAGGTTTAGAATCGTCGATCGTGTGATCGTGACGAATCTAACCGTCCGATCGAAACCAGATTCACGGGACGAATGTCCTAGGATTAAAGGAACGTAATGTGGGCATAGGAATAACTTTAAATTGATGCACGCACTTCTAGAAGCCGGGGGTCAGGGTTTTATTTAAATATTTATATCAAGCAGTTTTATTAATATATTTTATTATGATATTTGAATCAGGCACTCGGGCACCAGTTGACCCGCAGGAGGGACCTTCCAAAGGTCCAGCAAGCTCGGACCAACCGTGAGTGGACTCTTTGTTTTCATAAATGAATTTATGCAATTCAGTTTCAGTATTTGATCTTGAATAAGTTTTATTCAAAGACTAGTGTTTTATTAATGAGACATGCTTTTAAATATTATAATTTGCATGCTGCCGAGTGGAATATCCTTTAGGGATATAGAGAAAGAGAATTTTTGTTAAACATCAGATAATTGGCGGCAGAGTTCAGTCTTAACGGAAATTCAGTTATTTATCAGATCTTTCAAAACTTTGCTTATTATTATTGTTATTGTTATTTTCTAAGCCACTTGAGGTACCCAGATATACAGATGTTGCCTCCGGATATGATGATGTCCACGGACATCCAGGTTGCCTTCGGATTTTATCAGTTGCCTTCAGTTTAGTCAGCATGCTTGACAGCTGCCCCACGAGTTCTATGGTACCCGGACTCGTGTGGAGCGAGGACGCGGATCAGGTTGACCAAGGTCCCCTGAATCCTGCGAGGTTGCAGCTCGGATTGACTTTGTGTCACCGAGACCTGCGAGGACGTGTCACCAATGGTGATGCGAGGGGAATTGACGGATAACAGGAATTGACGGAAACAAAGGGGTACACCTAAGTGGTAGTTTTAAACTGATTTCAATGCTTTTAAGAGATTGATGTTGACCATGAACATGATTGACATATTTATATATGTATATATGAGTGCATTGGTTTCAGTACGTATATACAGAGGAGAATGATTTTAGTTTTTATAATTGCTTTTACAGTGGGGTTAGTATGTTCATATGTATTTTCTAAACTTTGTTTTTGGGTCCACTCACCTTTTTAATGTTTTGCGCCCCCAGGCTGTAGACGTGCATCTGAGAGCCACCACCGGGCATTTTCGCATTCCGCTCTTCCTCGTTTTGATGTAGGGTTCCTTGCTTCACAAGTGGTTACCTCCTTTGTAAATACATCTGTTTAGTTGCTCTGACATTGCCCTGGAATGTAGTTAACTGTTGGAACTTACTTATTTTTGTGTACTGGCAGTTGGTGTATATATTTAAGTGCTTGTTGACAGGTGTAAATTTTGGGAACGTTTGATTTACAGGGGAGACTCTGCCGAATTTTCGGTAGAAGTTAGGATTTAAGGGAATTAAGTTTCTAATCAGAAAAAGGGCAACCAAGTCAATTGTGCTCGGCACCCGCCAGGTGTCGATCACGAACAGGGTTCGGCTCGGATTCCAAAGTGGAATTTGGGTCGGGTCCTGTCACACGGGCTGATGAGGGCCCGCCTGGCCCATTGAAAAAAAACCTAGCCCGACCCGTTATGGGCTTTGAGATGGCCCAACCCACCTTGGGCTGGGCTAGGCTTGGGCTTGAGTGTCTAAAGCCCAGCCCAACCCATAGGCCCGGCCTGATTAAGCCCAAGAAAGCCCAGCCTGGCCCGCCCACAAAAGCTCGGCCCATTAGGCCCGCATACATATACAATTATGTATATATAAGAGTTTAGGTTTATGATTATATCACTTAAATCACATATATAATTTGTTTCATTTCATTTACTTTTCTTTACTCATTTCTAGTTTATAATTGGATGATTAGCACATTAATTTGTGTCAATTATTAATTCAACAATTATATATATATATATATATAAATAAGATGAACAACATATCACATCACCAAATATAATCATATCACGAAACATAATCATACCATCAAATATAATCATGCTTTTCTTGAACACATCACCAAATATTTGCATATTTATTCATACCATCCTTATTTTTTTTTTGATACTTATTATTTTTTAAAATGTATTACGGTCTAATTATGTAAGAACCTCAAAAATAATACTTGGTTTTATTATTTGTGTGGAAAATCTTATTAAGTTGTGTGACTTTATTGGGTGTTTTATGAATTTGGTTTGATGTGAAAATATTGGAATTAAGTGAGTTTAATCTCAAATTTGGACTAAAATGCCCTTATGATTAAGTTTATGATTTTTTTTGAATGAAGTAGGCCCGTTGGGCTTAGCCCGGCCCGGCCCGATGGGCTTTCTCAAGCCCGGCCCATGGGTCGGGCTTGGGCTTTGAATTTTCTAAAAAAACCTGGCTCGGCCAGGCCCAGCCCAAGCCCATTGACGAGCCCTACGTCACGAGGTGGTGTCTCTTGAGAAGACATGGTGCGTGGTGGTAGCTAAGGTGGTGGGTGATGGTGGTTTGGGTTTGTTGAGTAATTCCAAGGAAGGTTAGGTATGGGGTGGGGGTTAGGTCTGGGGTGGAGGCTGGGTTTAGTGAGGGGAGGGGATAGAGGTAGATAGAAGAAAGAAGAGGAGAGAGATGAGAGGGAGGGGGTGGGGTGCAATGGGGGTAGGGTCGAGGAGTGGAGGGGAGATGAGATACGAGAGAGGTAGTGGGAGTGAGAGTGAGAAATAGGCAAAGAGAAACGATAGATGAGGTAAAATTACTAAAATTCCATGTCACGTCAGCACACTTTACAATTTTGTGGAAGGAAGTGGTAAAGTGAGAAAATTTCAGCAATTTTTAGAGATTCAGTGGGTTAATTGAGAAAATTTCAGTTTCAAGTGGTAAAGTGAGACCGAGCGTCCATTCCAGGTAGGGGTGGGAATTTCGGGCACAACCCGTTACACGACTCGAAACTCGCATGAGAATTTAGAGGGTTCAACCCACACAATTAAAATTCGGATAATTTTCGGGTCAACTCGCCATTACTCGTTTAATAAACGGTGAGTTTTCGGTCAACCGGTTAACCCACTAAAATACCTATGTAACCCATTTAACAAAATGAGTCATACAGGTCAACCCACCAACCCGTTAAAATGCTTATTAACCCGCTTAAATACCTATGTAACCCGCCAACCCACTAACCCGTTTATTTGTTTATTCTTCATTTTTCTATTTTTTTTAATGTCTTCTAGTTGCGACCACTTAGCGAGTCAACACGACACTACCCAAAACCCGCACGAGAACTTAACGGGTCAACCTGTGCACGACATGTTTATTAAACGGGTTGGGTTTGAGTTGAGCATTCCTAACATGTATATAATCCTGACACAACACGAACTCGACACGACACGATCCATTGCTAGCCCTAGTTCCATGGGGTGAAACAGTAATTAAGCTTTATTTTTATTTAATTTTATTTTTTATAGGTAACATATAATTTTATTTGTCTATTTTTGTATCTGACTTATAAGTAGTCTTCTAACTTATGTTCCCAACTTATAGGTAGTCTTCTAATTTATGTTCCTGACTTATAGGTAATACGATTTATCACTATGTTTTTTTCGTTGTTAATAATGACACTATTTACATATATGGCAAGTACATAATTTCATGTGGGTGCTTATTAAATCGATTGGTATAATATGTGGGTCTTTGCTTTTCATTGATTAAATTATATTTTATCCATATATTAGGTCAATATTATAAAGGAAAGATTTCAAAATTTAAATTTTGAAATTCAATTACAACGAAATAATGCATCAAATTCAAATTTTCAATGTGTTTTCTTTATTTAACTCGAAGGGTAAAATCGAAATAACAAAAAAAGTAATAAATGTCTAAGGACCTACATCTAAAACAAAAAATGCATGGACTAAACCCAATAACAGCTAATCATTTTGGACATAGATTTAAGAAGCCCTAAATAATAATTATGAGTGTAACCTAAAAACCCCAAAATTGATTGTGTTATCAAACCACCAGAGCACCACCATATTCCCAGCCACCTAATCTCCAGGCTTGTGGCCGTCTCATCATGCATAATGGAATTGGAGATGGGCTGTCTCAGTTTTCATTCCTGCTACGCCACCAAGTTGCTAATATGCCTATATACATGATCATAGTTCCAATTCCACTCCAGCCCTTTCTGATTGCATTCCCTTAAGAGCTATCAGGCTTGGCTTGTACTGCGTTGAAGTTAAATATTTCTTCCCATTCTCTAAATACATGACCTCCTTAATTATCCCCCTCTTCATGTCACACACAATAAATTTACTAGCTTTCCTATTCGGAAGATTCTGATCCTTTAAAAATTCCGACGGAACAGTGATCTGCTTTCTACTCCATTTGTGCTCCTTCACGTCCTCTAACACCAACATGTTAAACTTTCCCTCTGCGATTTCTGCAAAAGCTACACATTGATTCCAATAGCTAATCAAAACTTTACGCAAATCTACTAAAAATCCCCGGGGCACCGCAGTAGTAGTGAAACATTCGTTCCAGATATCAAGAGATTGAATTTCCAGGCACAAATTGTTCCCGTCGACGATAAATATAACCAAATGACCAATCCCTTCTGCCTTGTTAGTTGCTTTCAGATATTTTAGGTTTAGTGCTTTCTTGCTATGTTGTTGAGGCACATCTTGGTTAGGGCGCTTCAGAGGTCTCCATTGCTCATCCTTTCCAACAGTTATGACTTGAAAACCAGCTTCTCCAACACATACCACTTTACACTCATGAGTCGATGGATTAAAAACAAAGTCCTTTATTTCTGCGCTGTCATGTGCATTAGGCAAGTAAAGTACTTGATGAGTTGCGGGATTTCTGATCCGGCAAACTTGAGAATTAAGACTCTTCTCCAAAAACAAGCCAGAACAAACCTCAAGGACCTTGAAATTTTCATCAACCACAGCTTCTAATTTTTTAGTTTCTTGTTTGATTAATGCATAGGAGAATTGCAGAGGACGGACTCGATCCATGTGTTTTGCAATGAACTGGAGGTCTTGAAACAACGAAAACCACTGCTTGCAGACGCACCTGAACCTTAGCAAAGAGTCCACAGGCAAGCAGCTTAAAATCTCAGTGATGACATCAAAGGGAAGCTCTGATGCTTTTACGGGGTTCACTCTCCTCCTCTTATTTCTTTGGTAGGTCAACAGGTAGCAATGGAGAGGTTCTGTTCTCCTTTTATTTCTTTGGTGGCAATGCGCCATCTCCAACCTGTGTACCATAAAGTTATATGAAGTCATTTAGATGATATAAATTTTTTACTCGGTAGTTATTGATTTGAGGCATGAAATTTCTATTGATTATACAATTATAACTGTTTTGAATGAACGATGATCAACGAGAGAGAGTATATTAACTTACTTGAACGCATTCTGATTTCTGATTTGGTTGATTTGTGCAAGTATCGTCATCGAATGAAGACCTAAAAATTGAACAGTGTAGATAATGAGATATAACATAATGGATTGAACATGAATGAGTACTAATTTAGTAGTTATATTAACAACTAACTGGTTAACACTTCAACGCTCTTATTCATATGTATATGTCACCATGTTAATTTGAATATATATATATATATATATATATATACGCATTAATACTTTTTGACACAAACAGTAAACTACTCTAAATTAATCTAATCTCCGTGGAAGGGGGCTCGAATTTGGGTGTAAGACGGCAAGTTCACTGTTATGGCCAACTGGCCCAATCCACGTTTGCCATATGCTTATTAATACTATGTTCCCCCTTGTCTTCCTAAATTTGGCAAAATAGTTAGATTATCCAAGGATTGTCGATTTAAATGAATTTTTGTGCTGTCATTGATCATTCAATGAGGACACAAAAATAAATAAATGGTTCAGATCATTGAGAGACTATGTATGAGAAAACAAAATAAGAACAAGAATAGCCACTTAATATTTTAGTCCCATACCTGAGCTCGTACACTGTATCTTAAACCCGTGAAGATCACTCTCAAACCTTTTGGCTCTCACTGTCTCTCTTCTGTGTTCTAAAACACCCAAACTTAAATCTCTGAATTTATAGGCTCCCAAAAAGTATACTAAAACAAGTCATCCAAATCCTATTGGTAAAAGAAAACCAAATCTTACTAAGATTGATATAACCAATTTTTAACAAGGAAATAAAAAACAAGTTACCCCAAAAGAAAACCTCCGCTAAATAAGTGGGCCCGAACAATATATTTACTTATCAGGAATTAAGAAGAGAAGCCATAAATCAGGGAACTTAGATAGGGAAATAAGGGAATTGGAATAGGATTAACTACTCCCCCTTGTTAATCCCATTCATATTTTTTAGGGTATTTGATTACAGATTTAACATAGAATCTACATAATTTTTTGATTCCTCATGTGTTAGTAAATTTAATGGAAGTCAGGTTTTGGAATAACTCCAATACCCATATTTTAGTAAACACAAGAGAAATAGGAATTGGAATCACTCCAATGGTCATTGATAAAAGGTGCCCAAAGTTCTCTATTTAAAGTTTTATAGTTTCCTGATGTGCTAGTAAATGCAAGGGAAGTCAGGTTTTGGAATAACTCAAAATACCAATATATTTAGTAAACACAAGAAAAACAGAAATTGGAATCAGTCCAATGATGAATCCTGATAAATGCTGCCCAAAGTTCTCTTCTATAGTTTCCTTATCTTGTTTTATCTCGTTTTAATGCTATGTATGAGATAGACCGATAGAGTTTATTGTCATTCTCAAGTCCATAGGCTTATTCATCTCATAGTCCAAGCTGCCTATTTTGAAGCAAATTGAACTATTGAGCAATAAAAAATGAAGAACAAACGACCCTTAACAAATATATTGTGTTTATTTGAATCCAGCAGAAGTAACCAAAAATTGGTTTAGCACACGTTGCTCTATTTTACAAGTTTATTATATTATTATAAATAATTAGGAATTAAAAAAAAAAGAGTTGATGGCTGCAGGCTAAGAAAGTGGAAAGAAACAAAATTGCGCAGTCTGAAAATAATATTGGACACTAGAATTATAGATGGCAGGATGTTTCTAGGTTGTCTTCTTCTTGTTTGTTTCATATTTGACTTGAAAACTTTGATGGTGTGTTTACTAATCAAGAATTGGAATTCTCATCAGGAATTGAATTCCACATATGGAGGATTCCTGCGTTTACTTCACATAAAGGAATTGAAAAGTAAGTGGGTCCACACAAAATTAGGAATTGAATTCCTGATTTTGGAGGAATTCAATTCTTGGGTGGGATGTGGTATTCTAATTCTTGGAGAACTAACCAATTAGGAATTCATCCTTTTTACCCATTATATCCTCACACAATTTTAAAAAGGGAGTTTCACTAAAACACCCAAAATGAGGGTTGAAATTATAAAAAAACCAAAACACTATTTAAACATATAAACACACCCAAAACCCATCATTACACACACTCAAAACTCATTTATAAACACACCCAAAAAGTTGACTTTGGGGTTGATTTTGGGTGTGTTTCTATGTTTAAATAGTGCTTTGGTTTTTTTATAAATATATGTCTAGGATTGGGTTTATTTATAAATTTGTATTTTAAAAATTCCAAATTTGTCATCTACTTTAACATAACAACGAGGACATTTTAGTAATTAGAACAACTCCTACCCCAATTCCATATGATTTAGTAAACAACTTCAATAAGAATCCAGAATCTAACTCCCCTCAATCCATATGGTTTAGTAAACAACTTCAATAGGAATCCGGAATCTAATTCTCCTTAATTCAACTCCTTATCAATTTAATTCCTCCTAATCCAATTACGGATTAGTAAACATATCATTAAAGGATTTTGGATCAATGAAGGTTGACCAAGGAGACCAAGACAGGGGTGCTTGGTGCAATTTCAGTGATTTGGTTACTTACAATTGGTTTGCTTTATACTGCATTACCTCCAATATGAACCCCTTTGGTACATGCAAGTGTGTACTTAATTTGCAGTTGCAACTAGTAACATTTCTTTAGTTAGGCCATGGTTGTTAAATTTCAGAGAGATAGGTCGGCAGTCCACTACTAGCAACATTGATAATAGGTGTGGAGTTTTATCACAGAAAGCCTCAGTGATATTAATAGTGGAATTATTCATTATATATTGTATTTTATTTAGTCAAGTTTTTAATGTGGGATTTATATTCTTCAACACCTCCCCTCACGTGGGACCACCACATAGTGAGCCACACGTAGAGCCACTACATCGGAGTCAATCATTTAAGCCACCACATATTGAGTAAGGGTAAATGTCCAATTCAGGTCTAGTCAATCAATTCACTATGATACCATGTTAAATTTCAGAGAGACAGGCTAGCGGCCCACTACCAGCAACACTGATATTGTCCCCAATTTAATCACCTATAAAGCCCAATAGGTGTGGAGTTTTATCATAAGAAGCCTCAGTGATATTAGTAGTGGAACTATTCATTATATATTGCATTTTATTTAGTCAAGTTTCCGATGTGAGACTTAAGGTGGTGATTGTTTTTTTTTCTATAGCCATTCAATTGACTAATTTGAGAATGAAATTGAAGGGAAGCACCAGCTATCCAATTGGGATGGTACTGACCACCCTAGAACGGATGATAAAGGCATTGGAGTGGAAGAGACTCTCAAGTTTCTCTTCGGAAGACTAGCTAGAGGTTTGATTTACTTGCTTTCTAATACAGCATAAGTCTAACCAGCTGTTACAAAAAGGGGTTGACAGATCAAATACATGATTGCTGATTTTGTTTGTGTTAAGTCATGTAAGATCAAAGTCATGTAAGATTATGAAGATTAATGAAGATGCATACTGCAGGGGAAGATCGAATACATCTCAAAACAACCGGATTTTCTTGCCACTCTGACCTTACTCTGAAGTGTGTCTGGCTAATAAACCAGTTATAATTGACAAGAATGCCTTAACAGTTTACATACCATCCAATCAAGCCCAAGATGAACACAAGGTTCAGCCATATGCAAGGAAAGAGGATCAGACTGCAATGAAGGCTGTGACTCGAGTGAAAATACTACATGGAAACACTAGTATTCCACCAGCTTGCAATTTTACTCACAAAGTCCCAGCTGTGGTTTTTTCCTCTGGGGGCTTCACAGGAAATGTATTTCATGAGTTCAATCAAATCATCATCCCCTTGTTCATCACGTCCCGGCACTTTCAATCCCACCTTCAGTTTGTCATAACTGATTTTAAGTGTTGGTGGGTTAGCAAGTACGAACGCATTCTATCAACATTGTCCAGTTATGATGTTTATAAATCCAGTTGAGAAAGGAAGTGTTCAGGGATATCCTGGAGCTGTCATAGGGTCATATATATCATGACAACTTAGCTCTAAATTCTACAGAAATTCCTAGAGGTTAATGTTTGGGTTCAAGCAGTTCCTAAGAGAATCATACATGCTGAAAATGAAGGATGTATCGGATCAGATGAATAAAAAACCAGCGCTAGTTCTCATATCTCGTTGCAAAACAAGGAAGTTTTTGAATGAAGATAAAATGGTGGAATGATGGAACAATTAGGCTTTCAAGTCATCGCTGCAACACCTACCCAGACATCAAATTTGGGCATGTTTTCCGGATTGGTGAACTTGTGTAGTGTCATGGTTGGAGCTCATGGTGCTGGCCTTACAAATGCACTCTTCTTACCAGCCAGGGCATGCTGGTGCAAGTGGTACCACTGGCGCTAGATTGGCCTTCAGAAAACTATTATGGTGGACCAACGATTGAAATGGGATTGCGTTACTTGGAGTACGAGATTAAACCAGAGGATAATTCACGCATTATTATTCTGTTAGGAAAAATCAGTAAATGTCTTATACTATAGGATCACTATATTAATACACAACTCTAAAATGTAGACAGCAACAAAATATGAAAACTGTATAAACGTGCAGATAGCCTTCACTACCAAGCCCATCAGCCCACCAATCTTATTTAATTGGTGTTAAGGTTTCATGCTTATAAAGCATGTGGAACCTTTTGTTTTCTGCAATGTGGGACATTTGCTTTCAAACTTCCAACATATTCTTGAAGGGCTATGAGGCTGCCAGGGCTGTGTATGTTGATGGGCAGAATCTCAAGGTTAATTTGGTGAGGTTCAGGGAAATGCTTATTGAAGCTATGGAACCTCTTGGAGGCTCCACTCCTTGAAATTGAAACCCATACTTTGCAATTTGTATAAAATGTTAATAACATTTATTGTATGTAGTTTACTGCTACAAATTGAATTAGACACAGCTTGATCAACATGAGCTCTTATGAATTGGCTATTTGGAATTCCCAGATTCAGATAAAGACCGAAAGAAAAGAAGAAAATGGAGACTAATGGGATACAAAGAATCAAATAAAAACATATACGAATTAACAACTACCAAAACCGGTCCAGGTCATCTGTAAACTACGGGCACAAATTGTGACCAGATGTTACAGGCCCAAATCACCATGGGCATGAAAGACAATAACTTCCCACAATCTGTGACTATTCTTGCAGGGTTGTTACATTTTTAAAGCTATTAAAGCAAGATTAAAAAGCCATCACCAGGAGAAAAGCCAGCCTTCTCTGATTTCATTCCTTTAAGAGCTATCAGGCTTGGGTTATGCCAACAAGATTCAGGCAATGGATATGGAAAGGGCAGTGGAGGTTTGCGCTTATATATTACTGTCTGGCTACTCATATCATACTCAACAAGTATTATTGTTTTAGTAATACCGTCTGGGTAAACATAATTAATAGCCAATTGCAGTACACCAGACTTAGGTATGCCAATGGCATTAACAATTTCGTCCTTCCATTCCGGGCGGTCCTTTAAAAATGTCAACGGAACGATGATCTTGTTTTGACTCCATTTGTGCTCCTTGAAGTCCTCTAACACCAAGACATTAAGGTTCTCCTCTGTTATATTGCGAACAGCTAGACAGTGATTCCAAGTTAAAACCGAAACTTCATTCAAGTCTGCAAAAAATCCCCGGGGCACAGTATTAGTAGTGAAACGTTCACTCCAGATATCAAGAGATTGAATTTCCATGTACAAATCTTTCCCGTCTGAAATAAGTTGAGTGAAATGGCCAAGCCCTTCAGCCTTGCCAGCTGCGGGCCAATATTTTTGTTTCAGCGCCTGCTTGCCATGTTGCTTTAGCAAGTCTTGGTTTGGGTGTTTGAGGGGTCTCCATTGCTCATCCTTTCCTACTGTTAGAACTTCAAAACCGACTTCTTCTCCGTCTTCACCATGAACACATACCACTTTACACTCATGAGTGAATGAATTAAATGCAATGTCGATTTGGTCCGTGCCCTCATGCGCATCAGGCAAGTAAAGCACTTGATGGATTACAGGATTTCTGATTCTGTAGACTCGAGAATTTTTTAGGCTCATCTCCAGTAGCAAGCCTCCCGACAAATGATAAAGAAACTTGAAGTCTTTGTCATAAAGAATATGTCCCGGGCTTGACATACGTCGAAGTGTCAGACGACTGGCCCGGTGGCTATGTATGGCAATAAACAGGTGGTCTTGAGTCAACAACAAACACCATTGCTTGCACACGCACCTGAATCTTAGCAAAGACTCGACTGGCAACCAGCTCAAAATCTCACTGATAATATCAAAAGGAAGCTTTGGTACTTCTATGGGATCCACTCTCCCTTCCACCATCTGCATGCTGTGGGTTCAGACAAAAGAGATGAGCAGAGAAACTTTATTTGGTTCTGAATTGGATTGATGAGTAGAGAAAATCTCTAATATTTGGGTTTGATTGATAACTCGAATTGAAATTTACATGTCTATGGTAGTGCTTTTATAGGCATTAGTCTTATCCAAGTAGAGTTAGGAAAAACATAAAACCGGAAAGTAAAATACAGCAAAGGGAAAGTAAATCTAATATCTTGTTTGGCTAGGTAGCACAAGGAAATTAAACATAAAAATAATTGGAAACTAGGAAAACCATCAAAAGAGTAACAACCCAAACTTCCATATCGTGCCCAGCATTAATTAGTCCACAACACTTTGAGGAAAATAAACCTAAAATAACAGGAAACTAGGAAAACCATCCAAAAGACTAATAACACTTAAAACTTTCCGGATTTTGTCCTACATGAGTCCCCAACACTTTGAGAGAACTCGTCCTCCTCTAGAGCTAAATTCGATCTTCATCGCCATGTCAGCCACTTCAACTCTTTGAAATTCCCATAACAGGCATTATCATTAAGCTTACTATTTATTTATTTATTTAGTTAATAATATATGCGGACCATGCGGCACCGTATGAGTGGGTCTACGTGCGTTAGTGGTTAACAGATTTATTAACGGTAAGACTAACAGTAGGTATGAAAGTGGTAGGAAAATTAACTTTGTGTATGCGACTGAGACAAAAAAATTAAATTCATGTACTGAAGGCTAAAACTCGGTAAACTTCAGGGTGGTAAAGTGAAAATTACCTTATTTTTTACGGTTACAACATATCCGAAAAATAATAGCTTATTAATTTGAAAGCTGCAGTTGTTCATATTAATGAATAATCAATTTTCTTACAATATTTCCATAGAGCAATTGGGTCATTAATTCCCATTGGTTTTCCAAAGAGCAATATTTGCAATAATTTATTAATTAATATGAGGCTAAGTCTTTAACTATTTGTTATGGAGGCACACTTGGATCATTTGAGACAAATTTTGAAAGTATATATATTGCTCTTTGCAAGGGAATATCAAGTCGTTTTCCAGAGAGCAAAAACCAGTTGCCGTTGCTTGGGCTATGCACCAAGTTGTGTCAAATTTGCCACAATTTTCAGATACCCATCGATCCCATGTTCACGAAACATTAAACATGACAATGGAGCCATACCATGTAGCAACAGTCCCTTCCACTTAAACTAAGACCCAAGCCCTGAAACAAACAATGCGTTCAGCTTATTGTATCATTCTGCGGGCAGGTAATGAAAATTCAGGTAGAATGCAGGGAAGCAGGCAGGCTCCAAATTATTAATAAAAATAAACTCAGAAGGAAAAAGTTAAACTGAGAGTAATTAGATACAAGAACGAAACACAAAGATATAGAAAACATGCAATTAATTATCATCCCATCCAATAATAATGCCAACATGTCAAATAGGTCCAGACCATCTGTAAAACCAGAGCAAATGTTTACAGGTTCAAATCCTAAGCACATGAGCACAATAATTTCCTATAATATGAGGCTGTTCTTCCGAAGGGATGTTACATCTACTGGTAGAAGCATTTGGTCCTAATTAATCTGACCAAATAAGAAAATTTTCCTCCAACCTGCATTCAAATGCAGCAGGCAACCTTTCCTGTTTTCATTCCCTTAAGAGCTATCAGGCTTGGCTTAACGAACCAGAAGTTGCTCCCCTGGCGTATATTTACCTTCTCAATTATCTCCCTCTTCAGATCATAGCGAATAAATCTGTCCTTAAAACGAAAATTAAGGCCATCAGAATCAGCATTGATAACAAAAAATGGATCCTTCAGCAGTGTCATGTGATCCTCTAAAAATGTAACCCGGACGGTCTTTTTACTCCATTTGTGCTGCTTGTAGTCCTCCAACACCAGCATGGTAAGTTTTTCCTCTGCTATATCAGCAACAGCTACACAGTCATTCCAATGGAAAACCAAACTGTCCCACCAATTTACATAAAATCCCCGGGGCACGGTATTAGTAATGAAACATTCACTCAAGATATCAAGAGAATGAATTTTCAGGTTCCAATCTTGCCCATCTCCAGTAACCTGGAGAAAGTGACCAAGCCCCTCACACTTAAAAGATGATCCTCTATAAATTGTAGCGCTGGTTTGCCACGATGTTTCAGCAAATCTGTGTTTGGGTGTTTCATTGGCCTCCATTGCTCATCCTTCCCAATAGTCAACACCTCAAAACCAACTTCACTGTCTTTGCCATAAAAACATACCACTTTACACTCATGAGTGGATGGGTTCAAAGCAAAGTCCACATTCCTGGTACCCTCATGTGCATTAGGCAAGTAAAGTACCTGATGGGTTGCGGGATTTCTAATTCGGAAAACTTGAGAATTAGTAAGACTCTTCTCTAGAACCAAGCCAGCACAAAACGCTTCCATTCCGAAGCTTTTGTCTAAAATAACGGTTAACTTGTTGGCTTCATGTTTGTATACATATCTGAGTCGCAGAAGACAGGTCCGCTCCTTATGTTTGGCTATGAACTTGCGGTCATGAACAATAAAAAAGTACCAGTTTTTGCAGACAAGCTTGAATCTTACTAGAGAATCTATAGGCAGCCAGCTCAAAATCTCTGTGATAATATCAAAGGGAAGCTGCTTTGATGCTTTTACAGGATCAGCTCTCCTCATCATAATGATTTTCTTTCTTTGGTAGCAACGCAACATCTTCATGCCTTTTCCATAATATACTAGAAATTAAGGTTAATAGTAGAGTCCTCCATGGTTTCGTGTTACTTAATTATATAATTCCTACTTTATCACTTGTATAGTTGAGGATAAGTACATCCTCTGTCTCTGTTCCGATAACCCCTCGAGTTGACAATTTCTACAAATAAACGGTTTCAATAGATAGAAATATCGCCGATATTAGAGATTACAAACAAGGACTACAATTACAAACAAGGACTTTAAATCAAATCATCAACCAACTACAATTACAAACAAGGAATTTTAATTCAAATCATCAACCAAGTAGAACTTGTTACCTCTTTAATTTTAAAAACTAGAACAAATCCTATTAAACACTAACCCTCCGTTTGAATGAAGGAATTAAAAATCGAATAGAATTCTAAAATGACAGAATTTAGATATTAATCGTTTAAATTTAAGGCAATTACTTATTTTAGTGTTTGAATTTATGTATGTCGAACTTCATAATAAATGCATAAATTACAAATTTGATTGGGAAATGAATTCCCACGCAATAGCAATTGAAATGACACCACTTTTGATGGAAATTAAACTCGGAAATATTTATCCCTAATTTCCACGATTTTTTTCATGTGTCATTTAATAATTTCGGTGCTAAGTTGCCAACAATAGAAAATTATATGTGATATTGGTGGTAGTATGGATGGTTCTGGGAATTCAGGAGAATGTTATTGGTGGTGGTATTGATGGTTCTGGGAATTATTTAAATAATAATAATTATGTGGTGTCTAACTGACTTAAGATTTATTTACATTGAAAGAAAGCCCAAAGGAAACATGATATATTGCTATGACAAAATTGGGTAAGTTTTGCTGCGTGTACCAGAATTTATGAGAGCTCTCATCATTTAGTACCGAGACCTTTATATCTTATCTATGAACAACAACAAAAAGACCTTTATATCTATCATCTGCACAGTATGGTTTTTTTTTTTTTTTTTTTTTTTTTTTTTTTTTTTTTTTTTTTTTTTTTTAAGAAAACAGTATTTGGTTTATAACAGTGGGTTTTTTTTTTTTTTATCATAAAAAAAAAATAAAATGGAATTATTTTCAACGAAAATTATTAAGAGATTTTTTAAAAAAATGTCACATGAACTTAGACCTCAGTTTCAATTTTTCACCTTAAAGAAAAATTTAAGAGAAATTTCACTTTAATTTTTTTAAATCCATGATTTGTCATCTGATTTTAACACCATCCAATTTTCCACTCATTTTAAGGGTGTTTTAAGTCTTTTCGTTAAATTTTCTGTTAAAATAATTTAAAAATATTTAAATATTAATTAAAAAACATAACTATTTGAATACAATTTAAAATAGATAAATAAGAGTTAACTTAATAAATAAATAAATAAAAATTTTTAAAAAAACCTAGAACTAAAAAATAAAAAAATAAAAGACACCACCTCCAATCCCAACCGCCAACCACCATTGTTCTCTCTTCTCTTTCTCCCCAGCAACAACATACCATCCCAACTCTAATCTACCTCACTCCTTAATATATATATATATATATATATATATATATATATATATATCTCCCTCTCACAAGAACAAGCCCTACACCCGACCATCCCCTAGCCATTTACCCCATCCCAGCCAGTTGGTCACCCAGATTTTCCAACCCATCTCCACCCCAATCTCTACTCATCCGGTCGTCGCCCCACTCCCCTCTCTCCATGTCTCCCACTGTGGCCATGCCCCTCCTTCCCACCTCTCCGTTGCTGGATCCTTCCCTTCCCGACAACCCCCATTCCTTTTTTTCAAGTTTTTTTTCCTTTCTCTAATGTTGTTTTTTTTTTGTCCGAGCCTTTCTCTAATGTTATGATTTACTTTAATGAATTTTTAATATTTTTAGATTAATTCATTTTTTTAAATTAATTTAAATAAGGTTTATAGATTCCCAAAAGACAAGAAAGGTTTATCATGTGTATTTAACACCAAGTAGTTTAATTGGATTAAAGCATGAAAATGATGACACCATTAAAATCCTCAATTATCTCTAAATTAAGTGGATAAACGATAGACTTTTTTAAAGCCTAGTCGCGGCCTTCCATCATGGTGGATTGTAATTAAGCATAACCCTTGTAAAGGCTTGCCTCAGATATGGGGGCCTAACGCATAGTACTTGTGTTTAAGAGGAATCCATTTTATACATTGGATGTTGCAAGGGTAGGAACAAACATGGCCAACATTCCAATATGATGAGGTTTGTGTTTGGATCTATATACTAAGCAAGCATGGTGGTGGGTTAATACTTAACTAGTACAATGGTGTGTCACCATAATATTCGGGGTTACATATTTGTTAGAGGCCAAATTATATGGTAACTCACATCAAGATGTGAAAGAGTAGAAGAAGGATCATCTCTCTCTATTATTTGTGATATCCCATGATTCTATATATTATGGTGTGATGATCCAAGTAATATGGAGTTTCCCATCCCACTAAGAGTTTTCAAGATAGAATACTCTCGAGTTCCGCCATTGGAAGAATTGTGGAATTAACCAAAATAATGGGAGGAGCCATTTGATTTAAAGATCCGGATAAATGGCCTTAGAATCAATCTAGTTTAAATATGTTAGATTATATTTATTTCGATATATCTGCAAACACACATTCCAACACTTGACAAAGAAAGCCTTCGAGGCCTAAGTTTCCTGGTTTAGTACCTCAATGTACTAAAGCTAGCCCACTTCTCACCCTCTTTTACGTAAACGTTCCTAGTGAGGCCCTTACTAACTTACTAATTAGTTAGCTTTTGAACATATAATAGAATGAATTGCAGTGAATTCTTCAATAGAATCATTTGCCCTAAATCTTCAGCCTCTCTATTGTTTACGCAGCTACCAAGCGTTCAACAAGTTAGTGAGCAAGTAGTATGTGGATTTTATTGTAACTCGCTAAATTTTTACTGTTGATTGCAGGATGCACTTCCTTTGGGTTATACCTAACATTCTTACCGAGAAAGAAAGCCTCAAAAGTTCTTCTATAACTTAACTTTGTTTTTATTTATTAATAGTAATCTCTTACAGTTAGCATTTAATTTGCGTATGTTATAGCTCTTACTCAGTTACCATTTTGGATTTCTGATTTTAGGGAAAGACCCAAAAGGAAAGAAGAAACTGAGACAAATGGATATGTACAAAATTAAAAGCAAACATATATAAACAAATATGCAATTATTATTCCAGGCAATCTAAAACATACGAGGACAAACCAAGTGTTACACTTACAGGTTCACTCATGCCCTGCCAAGTCTGGCTAAGGGAACTCCATCTCATCACCCTTAATAGGAATTACTGAGCAACACAGTCTTTTAATTTAGCCCAGACACAGACGATAACTAGCAGTATTATTCCCCTCAAACAAAAAACCAAGAGACTTGTTATCACCCTATAGGCCTTAGCCCCAAGTGTGTCGAGTAGTGAGGCAATATAACCCAACATGGAATCGGATTCCCTTGTCTTCATCATGCAATCAGATTTTTCGAGATCCAAAAGAGGCTTAAATATCTACAAATGAAGAATAGCAAATAAAAAAAATTTAGAGGTTATATATATAGATATAGTTCTTCCAAGCATTTAAAAACTTAACAAAAGTCTTCCAACTTCCATGCTAAAGAAAACCAGCTAATAGAAATACGCACCTTCCACAGCTTCTCGAGATCATAATTCAAGTCAACGTAAACAGCAGCAGCCACGGATTCGACAACATCTGCAAGAACCTTGTAGCCTGGAGACCCCGTCATATCTTTTCCTTTAATTACTCCTTCAGTAAACTTTGCGACCTGGAATTATGAAATAAATTAAAAAAATTTCTCATAAAACCTAATGTGAAAACAATTTATTAACAAGTAAAAATCTTTTAACCAAGTTTTAAGCGGAAAATCAAGGTTAGTTGAAATATAAACACTCGCACGCTGATGCACAAACAACTTTTTTATGTGTCATTTTTGTTTTTTGGGGCTTTGGTTTCCCTTTCACTAAAAAACAAACAAGAAAAATGTTAAGATAGTTATCACACGTGCGTGAGTTGTTGTCATCCGTTCATGTTAAGAATTATTGGTGATGGGTCGTACTTCCTCACTTACTAAATCTTGGCTCAAAAGAAATTGGCAAACTGTAGTGAGATTCTAATTTTGTTTTTTCAGAAGATAACTACTGTAGTACAATTCTAAACCTGGTCTCTTTCAATGAATTATGTCCTCACTTTACACGAATTAAAAAGAATTAATACTTGGCAAACATAAATATCCAACTAAAATATACCCAACTAAATTCCACCTAAAAATATTTTGTTTTTCTCTTTTCCCAAATAAAGCAAAGTCCCACACAGAAATCGCAAGAGAGACATGAAAAAGAAAAAGGAAAAGAAAAGACCTGATCATCAAGATCGGGTGTATTGTAGCGGAGAAGGTAGTCATAAAGCCCAAGCCGAGCACCAATGCGGGCGAGGTAGGGATTGCTAACGGTATCTTTGCGTCGGTTAGTGATTTCGTCTTCGTTGAACTTCCGGCTGTCAAGAAATAAGTACTTTGTCACTGCGTGGTTGAGAGCGCTGTCGCCGAGGAGCTCCAGGCGTTGATACGAATTGGGCCGACAGGAGGAGGGGTGGGTGAGAGCTTCTTCTAGAAGCGTCTTGTCCACGAAGTCGTAGCCTACAATTCTCTCCACGGCTGTCACCCGCTCTTTCATTTCCGGTGATGGCTGGAGTTGGCGGGTGAAGAGCTTCATCTTGTCTCGTTGATGAATTCGTCTGGGTCGTGGTTTGATTTGAACTTTGATGGTGCGTTGTGTTGATGTAAAACTAACCACTTGTGTAAGAATTGGAAATGCCAGAAACCTAATGGCAAAGTAAGAGGAAAAAGAATATTTTAAAGAAAAAGTTAAAAGAGAAAAGTAATAAAGGTAAACCTGTGTAGCCCGAGGTTTGTCACGTAGGGATTGGCTGACAAAAACTCCGAATTTATTCTCACTTGCATCCATTTTCAGTCGTAAAAAATAAAAATACTTTGATTAAGTGGGGGACAACAATGCAGTTTCGTGATTTACAGAGAGATCTGTACGGATATGATGCAGAGCAAACGAGAAGAATTTGCATGTCATGGGAGGAGCACTATCCCCATCCAATTATATTCAACCCTATGGAATTCTTATAATGATTGGCGGAATGTGATTGGTAACAAAATAGTGTTATTTCTGTCACATGTAAGTTTTTCTTCAAATCTATCATTGTAGCTTTTGAGATTCGAGAGAGGAATTTGCCTAATATCTTGAAGGACTTCTACAGTACTTCACAAATATTATCCATAAAATAAAATTAAAATGGAACGTTGTGTCAATATGCTTACTTCTTTCCATGTTGTATTGGATTCTTTTGAGTGCTTATTGATTCGTCGTCTACATTAATCACTGTATATTCTTCTTGTGGATCATTCAATGACTCCAAAAGGTTTCTTAGCCACATAGCCTCACAAACAGCAGAGGAAATGAAACTATAGATTGTGTACGTACGTATGAATGGAAATGAAAGAAATGGGTCATGTGCACGTGATGAAATTTAACAGGAAAATTAACGAAATAGATGGCATAAAAAAATTAATGTCCGGAGTATGAGGTTTAGGATGAAGGTGGTTTTTGGCAATAGCTGCTGATGGTTGAGCTGGTGATACATTGTTAGTGCAGACCATCTGAAAACTACGAGGACACACGAAATGATAAAAGCTCAAATCCTTAGCATACCACACCATCCGTAGTTGCAATAGAAAAGATCCTTACAAAGAGAAGTGATATAATTCATGAATCTCTTAGCATTTAATTTTTGAATGTTAGCGATCAGTTACCATTTTGGATTTCTGATTTTAGGCAAGGACCCAAAGGAAAGAAGAAAAATGAGACTAATGGATACAAAAACAAAACAAACATATACACAAATATGCAATTATTATTCCGAGCAATCTAAAACCTACGAGCACGAACCAAGTGTTACAAGTTCAAATCAATGGAGCAGGCAGAGGAACCTACCCACATATACAACTACAAAACACACACACACACATATATATATATATATATGTGTGTGTGTGTGTGAAACTACGGAAGAAATTCGGAGGGAAAAGTACAGAAATTATAGAGAAAATGAGATTATCTTCTTCACTCATGCCTTGCCAAGTCTGGTTGGGAATTCATACCCCTCAGCAACTAAGCTGGCCAAAACAGAGACAATAACTAGCAGACATATTCCCTTCAAACAAAACACCAAGAGACTTCTTATCACCCTATAGGCCTTAGCCTCAAGTGTGTAGAGTGAGGGAATATAGCCCATTTCGAAATCGGATTCTTTGGTGTTGATCACATTATCATATTCTTGTAAAGTAAGGATCATCTTGTGAGCTGCAGAATTCTTCGCATATTGTATTCTTGACTTTTCATCTCCCTTCACAGATTTCACGGTACCATCTGAAGTTTCCACTTGAACTGAGTATACAAATTTGGGTGAAGGTGGAGGACCTGATACCTTCTCCTTTCTACAATAATTAGAAAAGCAAATATGGATCTAGTTAACAATAGAATCAGCAATAGATAAGATAAGGGCTTTCTTTATTTTTGTTTGCCAATACTGTATGATCATGATAAACTAAAGAATATTCATACTTGTAAGCTGGTTTAGGCAACCACTTCTTGGCACAACGCACATGCAACTCATGCGTCGCTTCTTCAATACGAAATGAGTTGTCGTTTCCAGCTGCAGTACCTTCGTTGTTTACATCCATCAATTGCGACAACTTTTGTATAGCTTGTTTAGCAGCAATACGCTGTGCGGTATTCTTCCGTTTTGCAGAATCCGATCCACTAAGCTGGCCATCAACATAGACATTTATATTTTATATTTCCGGTCTCATCTCTCGGCAGCACGTCAAGGCGCTTCCCGCTCTTCTCGCAAAACTCTTTCAATATTGTCATCGGGTGATCTCGCAAGTTTTCAAGAGTATATATAGGCTCCAAAAGAGGCTTAAATTTCTACAAAAGCACAATAGGCAAACAACAAAAATTCATAGGTTATATAGTTATTGCCAACTTCCACGCATTTACAAACTTAACATAAGTTTTCCACTTTCATGTTAAATAAAAGAAGGTAATATAAATACACACCATCCATAGTTTAACAAGATCAAAATTTAGCTCAATGTAAATAGCAGCTGCCACGGACTCAACAATATCTGCAAGAACCTTGGGTTCATCGGACTCAAAGAACCCCACGTCTTCTTCTCCATTAATTACTGCTTCAACAAACTCCCCAATCTAAGAGTTTATAAATAAATAAAAAGCAAGGTTAGTCAAACTATAAAGTAAAGTCCCCCTAAGAATCGAAAATCACTTGAATAAAATTAAAAAGAAAAAGACTTTATCATCAAAAGCAGGTTCATTGTGGCGAAGGTAGCGATAAAGGCCATGACGAACGGCGACGCAGGCGAGTTTGTGGTTGCTAACATTGGCAGAGCGTAGCAAAGTGAGTTGGCCTTCGCTGAACTGACGGTGGTCAGCCATACAACAGAAGTGGTTGGTCATTGCAAGGTTAAGAGCGCTGTCGCCAAGGGTCGCAAGGCCAAGGCGTTTATAGGAGGGGTGGGTGAGAGCTACTTCTAGAAGCTTCTTGTTCTTGAAGTTGTAGCCGACGATCTTCTCCACGGCTGTCACTGAATCTTTCATTTCTGGTGATAGTACACGATCAAGGGATGTTGGGGTGGTGAAGACCTTCGTCATCTTGTTGATGAATTCGTGGGGGGTCGTCGTTTGAAGTTTAATAAAGTAAAAACTACTTGTGTAAGAATTGGAAATGGCAGAAAATTTAAGTGATGAAACCAATTAGCTTCATCACCAACCTTAATAGTAGGTAAAGAGGAAACATAAAGAATAAAGAGTAAAGGTAGAACAGCCAATCACACACTATTTGTGTGGAAACTGGAAATGACAGAAAATTAGACTGATGAAACCTAAAAGTCACGCTAGGCTAGAAAAGTAAGGACCAAAAAGGTTCTTTAAGAAAAAGAAAGAGAAACAGGGCTCATGTGGGGATTGGCTGATGAAAAATCAGCATCCCATGATCGAATTGCGGGGTAGAGAATGAGAGCCGAGAGAACGACAAAGTTTTATTTTTGTGTTGTCGTTTGGAATGTTTAAGCACTTGTGTTGTCTACTCTGTGTCTGTGTGTGTGCAAGTGCAAACTAGCTTGTAACTTGTGAAAAGCTAGAGAAACTTGTAGGTAAATTTCAAAGCGTCTGCCAAAGCAAACATTAAAGGCTCTTTACATTGAAGGTGATCTTGGGTCATCTGAAAACTACAAGCACAAACCAAACGTTAATCCTTAGCATCCTTAAGGCATTTAACACAGCAATTTCCTAGAGTCCATGGCAATTCTTGCTATCTCTAAAGTTTAAATATGGTTCATCCAACCTATGCATTCAATGCCGCAGGTAGATGATTATATAAACATATGCGTTACGTCATATATAACCAGATTCTTGTAAAGCCCGGAACATCGAGGAAGCTGCAAAATTGTCTCATCTTTTATTCTCGACTTTTCATCTCCCTTCATTCATAGCACACCATCCATAGTTGTAATTTTAACTGAGGACACAAATCTCTTCTCATCGTGTGAAGGACCTTCATCTTTCTCAATACTGCAACAGAAAAACCAATATGGCTCTGCTTAACAACAAGAATTAACAACATAATTCTAACACCACTTAAAATCATTAAAAGGTAAAGACCACTTCCTCTTGTCACGAAGCTCATGCAACTTCTGCTTTGCTTCTTCAATATGAAATGACCCATTCATTCCAACAATACCTTCACACGACCCATTCATCATCAATTGCGACAACTTATATAGAGCTAACTTAGCAGCATCAAGCTTGGCACAATTTCTTTATGCTAAGACGAACCCAAGTAACAATTAATTTGGCACCAACATACAACTAGTAATACTCTTGGTCTCATCTCTCCAATGTGCTTGATATCAACATGCTTCCCATGCTTCTGGCAAAGGTCAAACAACATTGTCACGGGTCGCGGTTCATCTTGCAAGTCTTCGAGAGTAACTATAAGCTCCACTAGACCCCTGAAGTCAAATTTAGCAAAATCAAGGTTTTCATTTTCTTTTTAAACAAACAAATGCAAATTAAATACACACCACCCACAGTTACTCCAGATCAAAATTCAGGTCAAATAAAGATAGCGGCTGTCACAGATTCCACAATATCTGCAAGAACCTTAGGAGCTCTTGACCCAAAGTAATAAGAAAGATCTAAAATTTTCTTTTCACATACAAAACAGAGAAGCAGACAGGAAAAAAAATTTAAAACAAAGGAACAATTAATTCAATAGTATATGACCTTATCTTGGAGATGGCGTCACCGCCGATGAACTCAAGGCGCTGATACAACGCGGATTCAGTGTAGTCAGAGCTTCTTCTAGGAGCCTCTTGTAGCCCAGGATTTGCTCCACGGTTCACACCGATTGTTTCATTTCTGGTGATGGATGCTAGACCATGCGATTGATGATGGGTACAATTTACCAAAAAGAAAACAAACATATACACAGATATGCAATTTTTACTCCAAGCAATCTTAAAACATACGAGCACAAACCAAGTGTTACAGGCTCAAATGTAACAGGTAGAGGAACTTACCACATATACAATTAAGCACATATAATGGTGCAAGTGTAGAACATTTTGGAAGATACAATTATAGAGAAAATGAGATTATCTTCTTCACTCATGTCTTGCCAAGTCTGGCTATGGGAATTTATACATGTGTAGGTAAATCGAAGGATACCTCCGTCGTCACATCACCCTTCATAGAATTTACTTAGCAAAAAACCAACTAATATCACCCAAAGTAGCAGACAAAAGCAGAAACAAACTAGGTTAAAAAAAACTCCAGGAGACTTATTATCACCCCATAGGCCTTAGCCCCAAGTGTGTCGAGTAGTGAGTCAATATAATCCAACATGGAATCAGATTCCTTTGTCTTGATCATGCAATCAGATTCTTTGGTCTTGATCATACGATAAGCTTCTTTGGGGTTGATCATACGATCAGTGTCTTTGGTGTCGATCATATTATCAGCTTCTTTTCTGTTGATCATTCTACAAGACTTTATGGTGTTGATCATATTATAATATTCTTGTAAAGCAAGGAACATCTTGTAAGCTGCAGAATTCATTGCATATTTTTTTCTTGACTTTTCATCTCCCGTCTCAGATTTCACGGTACCATCTGAAGTTACCACTTTAACTGAGTATAAATATTTCCTCTCATGTGGAGGACCTAACACGAATTCTCTGCAATAGAAAAACAAATATGTATCGAGTTAACAATAGAATTTACAACAAAATTCCAGCTAGATAACGTTTCTTTTTCTCTTTGTTTACCAATACTTTATGACCATGATAAAGTAAAATTTCATACTTGTACTCTGGAGGTTTAGGCAACCTCTTCTTGGCACAAAGCACATGCAACATTTGTATCGCTTCTTCAATACGAAATGACCTGTTGTTTCCAGCTGGAATACCTTCGAAGGACCCATCATTTACAACCATCGATTGCGACAACTTATGTACAGCCTCTTTAGCAGCATTCTGCCTTGCATTACTATTCCCCTTAGAAGAACCCGAGCCAACAAGCACGTCATCAACGTAGACACCAGCAATACTTATATTTTCAGTCTCATCTCTTGGCTTCAGCTTGATCTCAAGGCGCCTCCCGTTCTTCAGGCAAAAGTCATACAATATTGCCATGGGGCGACCACGCAAGTCTTCAAGAGTATATATAGGCTCCAAAAGAGGCTTAAAAATCTATATAAAACAACAAAAATTCATAGGTCATATATATACACAGTCATGCCCCAACTTCCAAGCATTTACAAACTTAACAACAGTTCTCCACTTTCATGTTAAATAAAATTAGAAGGTAAAATAAATACGCACCATCCATAGTTTATCGAGATCAAATTTCAAGTCAATATAAATAGCAGCTGCCACGGACTCAACAATATCTGCAAGAACCTTATGTACAAGCCCCGTCTCGTCTTCTCCGTTAATTACTGCTTCGATAAACTCCTTAACCTACGCTTTAAAAAATAAATAATAAATAAAAAAACTTGCTCATAAAACCCAAAGAAAGAACAATTAGTTAACAACCAATGATGTTAAACAAACTGCGAAAGCACGGTTAGTCAAATATAAACAATCATGCTGATGTAAAAACAAATTTTTTGTGCGTATTTGTTATTTGTATTCGTTTGGCCTTCAACTTCCTTTTCACCAAATAGCAAAACAAAACCGTTGTTAAGGAGTATTGCCCACACACGCGAGTTGTTGTCAGTCATTAATGTAATTGCATCACATAATGCTCACTTGCTAGCGACAACTCAAAAGAAACAGGTAAACTTTAATGCAATTCGAAACCTTGTTTTTTTGGGTGGATTACGTTCTACTTAGGGGTGCAAGTTGGGCCGGAAATTCCGATTCCGGTCAAATTTGATCCGAATTCTGCTTTTGGGACCAAAAATTACGAAAAAATTTGGATTGGAATTGAAATGTATTTTTAAATTCCAATAATTCCGCATTCCAAAATAGAATGGAGTTTCAAGGTTAGACTACACAAAAGTTGTTCCTTAAAGATAACAATATATAAATACTAGCATATAATAGACAGATAAGTTGTTCCAAAAATTCCAGAGTTTTCCGCATTCCGATGTTGAAGTTCCGTATTTTTTTGGAAGAAATGTAAAGTCCATGGGCGTCAATTAAGAAAGAAAAAAAAACAAGCCTACCTAAATTCCATGGGCATCTAAAATGTAAAGTCCCGCTCAAAATCAGAAATCGCTTGAGAGAGGAAAAAAAAACAACCTTATCATCAAGAACAGGTGTATTGAAGCGGCGAAGGTAGGGATAAAGCCCAAGGCGAACAGCGACGCGGGCGAGCTTGAGGTTGCCAGCGTTGGCGGAGCGTAGCTTAGTTATTTGGTCTTGGTTGAACTTCCGGCGGTCAGCCATACAAAAGAAGTAGTTGGTGACTGCGTGGTTCAGAACGCTGTCGCCAAGGACCTCGAGGCGTTGATACGAAGTGGACCAAGGGAAGGAGGAGTGGGTGAGAGCTTCTTCTAGAAGCCTCTTGTTCTTGAAGCTGTAGCCGACGATCTTCTCCACGGCTGTCACTGACTCTTTCATTACCGGCGATGGCTTGAGTTCACGATCAAGGGATGTTGGGGTGGTGAAGGCTTTCTTCATCTTGTTCATATAATTCGGGGTCGTCGGGGTTTGAAGTTTGATGAAGTAAAACTACTTGTGTAATGTAAGAAGTGGACATGCCAGAAAATTAAAGTGATGAAACCAATTAGCTTCATCACCAACCTTAGTAGTAAGAGCATAATATTAAAGAAAAAGAAAAAGATGTAAAGTCAAGAATGTGGAGCCCAAAATGATAGAGCCCACTACCTAATTGATTGAAGAAGAATAATGGTGAAGCTTGTCTGCCAACACCCATGTGAAGCCAAAGAAAAATGAGTAAACAGCCACGGAATTCTGCCTACAAATACGGCTTCCCCCTTCCTTTGCTATACAGACCATCAGAAAAGAAATGAGAGCCCAAACAAAGAGGAAAGAAAGAAGAGAAGGAAGAAAGAGGGTGAGTGAGTGGAGAGAAACAGAGAGCAGAGAGAAATATTAATGAGCCACAGATATTGTAAATACTAAAGTTGTAGTCCTATTATTTACATAGTGAAAAAGTTACTGCTACTGCTCTCCGAGTACGTAGGCAAGGCCGAACCTCATTAAATATTGTGTCTTATTTACTTTACACGCACATCTCAATATTCTCGTATAATCCCGTTCATTTTACAACAAAAGAATAAAGAATAAAGGTAGAACAGTGTAGCCAATCACACACGATTTGTGTAGAAATTGGAAGTGCCAGAAATTTGAAGTGAAACATAGGAGGGACTATGCGAATGAAGTAGGCAAAATTGTACTATAACAACTTAGAGCATCTCCAAGGTAAGAGGCAAAAGAGTAGGCAAACCTCATTTGCCTTGCCACATCAGCATTTCCATACTCCAAGTGAAGACGCAAATGGGTAGGCAAAATATATCTACTCTCCCCAACAAGGCAATATTACCTACTTCAAAGTGAAGAGGTATATTGGGCTCCACTTGCTTTTTATAATAAAATATCAACTCTCCTCTCTCACATGCTTTCTATGGGTAATGCAAATGTAAATGTAAAAGATAAAAATCAATAATATAATAATGAAACAAGGGAGAAACATGAGAGAAAAGCTCTGGAGAGAAAAAGAGAGGAAATGATCTAGGGCACAATTAGGGCTCAAAATTTGGGAATCTGGAAATTAAGGAAGAGGAAAAGACGCAGGAAGGAGGGAAAGGATCGACGGACCAACAGTCGCAAGATTTTCCAAATCAGACATGACTTGCTTTGGGACCTTCAATCAGATAGCAAATACGTAACAAAACTTGGATGGACCAACAAAATCCTTTTTTGGAAAAGGGGATCTGTTCACCAAACATCGGCGGGGAAGACCTCACTGGCATCGATTGCTCTTCTCGAGAGTGCTCCAGAGAAGTGTTATTGGGGAAGGATTTCAATCGACACTATTCTCCTTATTTTAACTATTCTTAATCATTCCTCTGCCATAATCAATCCAATGCTAGCCCGATCTAATGGACAAGATTGCATGGAGAACTTCAACAGCTTGTTAAACTGGTTAACCCAGCTTACCATGAAGGCATGCCCTGTCTATTGTTGGCGTTCTCAAGACCTTGGGGAGTATCTTTCTTCATCATTCAAATTTTCTTACATGCATTGGTGGTTGATGTTGTGGTTTAATCATTTCTACCAGCTCAAGCTCCCTATTTATACTTTCACTTGGAGATGGTTGTTTATCTGCCTCCAAGTCCATCAATTTTCTCACTGCTATTTCTCTGTATTGTATTCCTGTGTTACCATGAATCCACAACTTGTTGCTAGTGCCTTCCGTCCTAGATCCCATAGCTCAAGTCCTAGAGCCAACCCCAACCCCTTGAGAACCCCACCCCGTGAACCTTCCATCATCCACAAAGTCGGTTTACCTTTAACATGGAGAACAATGAAACTAAAGTTTCCACCACTGAGCTTGCTTCCACTATGCAAAGTCACTTTGAATCTCTCGTTCTTGTTGGGAAAGTATTCCCTGTCCCTGGCAGGCAATAAGAAATAGGCTGAAAAGTGATTGGAAACACCTACAGGAGGATATCTCTATGGATCACATTGGCAGAGACTGGTACAAGATTGAGTTCTACTTTGAGGAGGATGTTGATTATGTGCTCAAGCATAGACCTTGGTTTGTCCAAGGTCAGATTTTTGCATTGCAAAGGTGGCCTCCAGATTTTTCCCCTTTCCATGCAATTGTCGAATCTATAGTTTGTTTTGTGAGGATCCCGTTTTTACCGCTCCATTATAAGGATCTAGACGTCCTTAGTGATATGGTCTCTATCCTTGGGACCCTAATTAGCATTGACCAAGCTTCCATGGTGGGTAAGCAAAGCATGTTTGTTCGAGTATGTCTAGAAGTGGATCTAACCAAGCCCTTGAAGCGGTGCTTGATTTTGGGGGATAACCCAAAGGAAACTCGTATCTACATCAATTATGAGGCCCTGTTTGCCATCTGCTTTTACTGCAGCTAGAAGAAGGAACCTGGGCATGTATGCCCAGTTAAGATTTCCAACAAATACTACCTTCAAGTGGAGCGGTTGAATAACGAACCTAAGTTCTTTCTAAGGGACCTTGTTTTAGATGAGGATGATCAAAAGAACCTGCAGGATGATGTGTGATTCTTGTATTCCCTCAACTCGTTACTGTTGAGGATGTTCATAGGAATGATTTTGATGAAGAAGCAAAGGATGGTAATACGCAGGATAGTGTAGAGAAATATGTGGGTTGGACGGTGGTGTCCAGTCGCAAAGGGAAAACCAAAGAAGCCGTGAGAGATGGCAGAACCTTTATTGAAGTGGCTAGGGGCATTAAAATCACTGAAGGGAACTCGGGTAAGAACCCTAAAGTTTTCTTTTAGGAGGCTAGACTGAGTGGAGTGGATAAAGGGAAGAAACTGGTGGAGGAACCAAGCCTATCTCAGGAAGCTTATAGCTCTTCTAACGCTTTAGCTTTCCAGAGCCCTAAGAAAAGAACTAGAGAACTCTTTGAAGAAGTCTAGGAGGAGTCAAAACCTAGTGTTGAAATTCTGGAGGTTTATCACCCCCCTGCCCGTGACATTAACACAACCATCCCATGAAGATCTTAGTTTGGAATAGCTGAGGCAATGCCTGGCATGGCTTTGTTATCCAATCTCTCTTTTATATTAGTACGCTATGTTTATATGTTTTTTGTATTCTGGATTCTAGGGCCGCTCGGGATCAAGTTGATCGTTTGATCTAGAGATAAGGCTTTACTAGCAGCTTTTGTATCCCCTTTGTAGGACAATGTGGGGGAATTATCTTGATGTGGAATCCTTCTATTTTCAATATTAGTATTTTGAATTACCATGAGCGTTATATTCATTGTGTAATTCAAGACCTTTCTACTAAGAAGGCGTGGATAAACACTTTCGTCTACGCCTACCCTAAAAAATCCAAACAAGCGGCTCTGTGGATTGATCTCAGGTCGCTTAAACCCATGCCCAATATCCCTTGCACTCTGATTGGTGACTTTAACAACATCTGCTCTCTAGATGAAAAGGAGGGTGGATCTCAAGTGATTACCCAGGCCATGATGAACTTTAATAAACTCCTAAGTGACTGTGAAGTTGTATCTATGAATGCTTTTGGTGCTCCTTTCACCTGGTGCAATGGGCATCAAGATAACTCAGTTATTTTTGAAAGACTAGATCAGGCTGTTGCTAACCCAGATTGGGTGCGACTTTTTCCTAACTGTGAGTTCCAAAATCTACCTATCCTTAGATTAGACCATGGTCCCATTCTCTTCAATAGTAACGATACCCCTAGAAAAGTCCCTAAAGCCTTCAAGTTTGAGGCCATGTGGTTAGCCCATAAAGATTTTGACAAAGTGGTAAACCAAATTTGGGACACTTCCTACAGTGGGAACGTTGCCCAAAGAATTCAATCCTGATGCAACACTTTTAAACACAAACTAAAATCCTAGAACAGAAATGTCTTTGGAGACTTGTTCTAGAAGATTAGATTAATCCAAGAGGATTTACTCTTAACCCAGGAGCAATTAGCCCAAAACCCTTTCAATCCTTATTTGTTAGATAAAGATCTCAAGTTAAACACGGAACTAAGGACTTTGCTTGATCAAGAAGAAGTTTTTTATGCCTAAAAAGCTAGAGCTAACTGGCTTAAACTTGGGGACAAGAACAACAAATACTTTCACACTCAAGCTTTAATTAGATGGAAACGTAATCAAATCACTAGAATTAGGGATCCTAATGGGTTGTGGGTTGAGGGTGATGTTCTCCACCATACCTTTATTCAAGCTTTCAAGCTCAGATTCACTGTTGATTAGATTCCAAACCCTCTTCTAATGAGTAATTTCCTTCAAGTTGTTGAGCCTTGCATCACCAGCCAAGATAATGTAAACATGGCTCCTGTTTCTGATTCTGAGATGGAGTATGATGTGTTGGGTATATGGCCTCTTAAAGCCCCTAGCCCTGACGGCCTGCAAGCAGTGTTCTACCAAACTTGTTGGAAGAATACTAAGAATAAAATTAAGGACCTAGTTAATGATTTCCTTATCAATAATGTTCCTTTGCAGGATGTCAATCATACCTATATAGCCCTTATTCCTAAAGTTAATTCCCCTGAGACAGTAAACCAATATAGGCCCATTAGTTTATGAAATGTCTCGTACAAAATTATCACAAAAATTTTGGTAAATCGTCTTAGATCCTTACTTTCAAAATGCATATCCAGAAACCAAGGAGCTTTTGCTCCAGGTAGTTCTATTTTTGATAATATTCTTGTTGCTTATGAGCTATTCCATGATTTTAAAAGAAAGAAAGGTAACAAAAAAGCTATGGCCATTAAGCTTGACCTTGAAAAAGCTTATGACCTCCTTGACTGGAGGTTCATCAGAGGCTGCTTGATACAATTTGGTTTTAGTAATGCCTGGTGTGATCGAATTATGAATTGTGTTTCTAGAACTTCCTTTTCACTTCTTATTAATGGTTCTCCCTATGGCCACTTTAGGGCTTCCAAGGGAATTAGGTAGGGAGATCCTTTATCGCCTTATATCTTTATCCTTTACATGGAGCCTTTTATTAGGAATTTAAATTGTCTCGCAAGGAATACTAAATCTAATGTGGGTTTGCTCTCTTCCCCTGGAGGTGACCGTATCTCTAACTTGGTCTTCGCTGATGATTGCCTTATTTTTGCTAGAGCAACTACGGTGGCTGCCAAAAATATCAATACAGTGTTAGATATTTTCTCTAAAGTCTCTGGTAAGTAAATTAACCTGCATAAGTCCACCATTTATTTTTCTGGAAATGTTCATACAAAAGTCAAACCGTGCTAAGTAATCTTTTGCAGATTCAGCACAAAACCACTTTAGGTCGTTACCTTGGCATCCACAACATTATCTTTTGGAAAGATCCTGCTAATGCCAATCTTTTGATTGAAAGAATTCGGTCTAAGTTTGCCAGTTGGAAGGCCAACACTTTATCTAAAGCTGGCCGTCTCACGCTAATAAAGGCTAGTGTCTCTGGAATTCCTAACCATACTCTTTCCTGTTTTAAATGTCCCAGAGAAGTTTGTAAGGAATTGAATGTTTGTTGTAGACGTTTTTTCTGGGGCAATGACAAGAAGGTTCCCCCAGTTTCTTGGAAAGATGTTTGTCTTCCAAAACACCTTGGGGGTCTAAGGGTTAGATCTGCTACTCTTTTTAATAAGGCGGCTTTAGCCAAATTAGGTTGGATCTGCTTGACTGATACTACCAATTGGTGGGCTCATATCATGACTAAAAAATACTCAAAAAGAGACTACTTCCTGTTTGGCAGAAAAAAGACTTCTCAGTCGCTTTCCTGGAAGGCTATCCTTGATGCTCCGTCAGTTTTGCTTAAAGGTTGTAGATGGATTGTTGGAAATGGTCAATCTATTCCCTTCTGGACAACTAACTGGGTGTTCCCTTTTCCTTTGCTTGATTTAATTCCTGAGTTTTTGAGACATAACTTGAATTTGAATGCTAGAGTGGCAAATTTTATTCAGAACCATGCTTGGCAAAGGGACAAGCTCCTTCAAGTAATTGATGAAGATATTTTGGATCAAATCCTTTCCATTCCTCTACCTCTATCTGCTCTACATGATAAGTTAGTCTGGGGGCCTAACCCGAATGGGAAGTTTTCTATTAAATCTGCTTATAATTTACAATTGCAGGATGAGCCCTCACATCCGAGAACTCCTTTGTTGAAGAAAATGTGGAACTTGAATTTGCCCCCTAAAGTCAAGCTGTTTGCTTGGTTACGCATTCGAAAAAGACTTCAAGTTCAAAGCCATTTATACAAATACATACCTAATATTAATCCTGAATGCCCCCTGTGTAAGAATCACTTGGAGACTATTAACCATTTATTTTTTGAATGTCAATTTGCTGTTAATATTTGGAGGTGCACCTTTATCAATCCTATGACCACATATCAGAATTTTGATGGAATCAAGTAGCTAGATTTGCTCCCTCACATGATGGATAAAGATGGCCTAAATAGCCTCTCAAAGGCCCTCCTACTCTGCTGGCAAATTTGGGAGGCTCGGAACTGTGTCTTTAAAAACTTGGCTCCCCATCTGACTAGAGCTCTTACTGTTACTGGTCAGGTTGGTCTAGACCTTTTTAAAATCAACTCCACTCCTCCCCAAAGGCCTAAAGGTGTTCTCTCTATCAAGTGGAAGCTACCTCCTCATGATTGGATGAAATTAAATTTTGATGGCTCAGTGCGTGAACATATGGCTGCCACTAGTTTTGCCATCATGGACTGGAAGGACAAAAAAGAATATATTATATATATATATATTTATACAAGTGATATAGAAGGGGGTATTTTTTACACTGCCAATAATTGTTCAAAAAGTGAGACCAAAAAGATTATTTAATAAAAAGAAGGGTTTTTCGTAGCAATGGTCTCTCAACTATACTCAGATTTATATTTTGGTCACTCAACTCCAATAATAGTTACACAGGTCACTCAATTAGGTGTTGTATTGCACCATTAGTACCTACCGTTAAGTCTCTCTAACGTGGTGTCAATTTCATGGGCAAAGTTTTATTTTCAAGTCTATAATCAAGCTCATTTCACTTCATGCTCAAGCTTCAAAAGGGTTCAATCAACAGCCCATTTCACCATAACAGAAAAAGATGTGCAATAAAGCAAAGCAAAGGGTGAAAAACAAAAAGACTTAGACCGCTCAAAGATAAGCAAACAGTGGAGACTACAAGTAAATCTAAAGAGGGTTGTGCAGAAATTGAGAGAAGAAAATAAAAAAAGCAATACCCAGATCTCATAAGACGGAGAAAATGAGGAATTCGAAGAGCTTTAAGAGAAAAAACTATGTGAGGGCCGGTACCGCCAAAGGCAGAGGTGGACAGGGTGACCGAGAGAGAGAGGAGCAGAGAAAAGCCATAGCTCTTCTTTTGGGGAAGTTTTACTGAAAGCTCTTCCAGTCTTTACCGAAAATAATAAATTGTTTATTTATATTTTTGTTTTAATTAACTGAAAAGTCAATTTTGCCTTTCAATAATTTGTGAGATGCTTGCCATGTCATCGTTTTAAACAGAAAGAGTCACAGATTTGACGATAGGGGCTAATAGTGTAACACAACACCTAATTGAGTGACCTGTGTAACTATTCTTGGAGTTTAGTGATCAAAATGTAAATCCGAATATAATTGAGAGATCATTGCTACGAATAACCCTAAAAAGAAAAAGAGAAACAGGCCTCATGTGGGGATTGGGTGATGAAAAATCGGCATCCTATGATCGAATTAGGGGTTGAGAATTTTGAATTTAAAATACTCTGACTAATCTGCTCTTGCTTTTCTAAGAGCCGAGAGAACGACGGAGTTTAATTTTTGAGTTGTCGTTTGGAATGTTTAAGCACTTGGGCTCTGTACTCTGCGTGCGAGTACAAACTAGCTTGTATATTGTGGGAATGCCAGAAAAACTTGCAGGTAAATTTAAAAACAGTGCGTCTGCCAAACCAAACGTTAAAGGCTTTTTACATTGAAGGTGAACTTTGCACCATCTGAAATTTACAAGCACAAACCAAACGTTAAAGGTTCAAATCCTTAGCATCCATGAGGCATTGAAACACAGCAATTTCCCAAAGTCATTTAAGGTGAGCTTTGCACCATCTGAAATTTACAAGCACAAACCAAACGTTAAAGGCTCAAATCCTTAGCATCCATGAGGCATTGAACACACAGCAATTTCCCAAAGTCCATGGCAATTCTTGCTTTCTCTAAAGTTTAAATATGTAAATTTCCATCTAACCTATGCCTTCAAATGCAGAAAGTAGAGCTTTGCGTCATATATAACGATATTCTTTTAAAGCCCGGATCATCAAGTGCAGAATTTTCCGCATCTCTTTCTCTCGACTTTTCATCTCCCTTCATGTATAGCACCCCATCTATAGTTGCAATTTTAACTAAGGACACAAATCTCTTCTCATGTGAAGGACCTTCATCTTTCTCAATGCTGCAACAGAAAAACCAATATGGCTCTGCTTAACAAATAGGATTGACAATAGAAAAATCATGATAACGTAAAGATTCATACTGGTAAATTGGTCTAGGCCACTTCTTCTGGTCACAAATCTCATGCAACTTCTGTTTTGCTTCTTCAATATGAAATGACCCATCCATTAAGACAACACCTTCAAACGACTCATCATTTACACCCATAGATGGCGATAACTTATCCACAGCTACCTTAGCAGCATCAAGCTTGGCAAATTCCTTATGTTCAGAAGAACCCGAAGCAACAAATTCTCCATCAACATACACATTAGCAATACTCTTCCTCTCATCTCGCCAATGTTTGATATCAACATGCTTCTGGCAAAAGCTCAAACAACATTGTCACGGGTTGCGGTTGACCTTGCAAGTCTTCAAGAGTAACTATAGGCTCCAATAGACCCCTGAATATCTACAAATATACACAACAATAACAAAAGTTCAAAGGTTATACTATAGTCTATAGACAAATCGCTAAAACTTTTTTACAAACTTAGCAAAATCAAGCTTTTCACTTTCGTTTAAAACAAAGAGAAGCAAATAAAGATACACATCATCCACCAGTTTCTCCAGATAAAAATTCAAGTCAACATAAATAGCAGCTGCCACAGACTCCACGGTATCTGCAAGAATCTTAGGGGCTTTTACAGACCCACCATATACAAGCGACATCTCATCTTGAGATAATTATTTAATTCCTACCTTATCACTTGTATAGTTTAGGATAACTAGAACCTCTGTTTCGATAACCTCTCGTGTTGATAATTTCTACAAATAAACGGTGATCAACAGATAGAAATAAAGCCGATATTAGAATCAAGATGATTAGAGAATGAAAAATGGAGTGGGATCCAAGTATGATAATCCAGCTACAATTACAAACAACTACTCTCAAACAAATCATCAACCAATTGGTGCTTACTTGCACGTAGAACTTGAAACCAATTTCAGGTTAAGTTTTGAAAACCCTAACCGCTCTTTTCCCTTTGTGAGTCCTAAAGAAAAACTCCATGGAGGGGGAGGAGGAAGAAGCATCACTACCCTCCTCTCCTTCCTCTTTCTTGCCCTTTCTTTTGGGTTAGTGAATATGTCTACCGGAGCGCTTTAAACAAGAAGACCCTTGTGGCAGTACGTAGAGGAACCACATATACAATTAAGCACATATAATGGTGCAAGTGTGGAAGATTTTGGAAAAGAGAACTGTAGAAATTATAGTGAAAATGAGATTATCTTCTTCACATGCCTTGCCAAGTCCGGCTAAAGGAATTTATACATATATAGCTAAATTGAAGGAGACCTTCACCTTATTACCCTTAATAGGAATTACTTAACCCCTTCGCAAATGATAACCAATTAAGTTGGATAAAACAGAGACAATAACTGTTGATCATTCGAAGCTTTGGTGTTGATCATACGATCAGCTTCTTTGCTGTTGACCATATTATTAGCTTCTTTGCTGTAAAGCAAGGATCATCTTGTAAGATGCAGAATTCATCGCTTTTTTTTTCCTTGACTTTTCATCTCCCGTCACAGATAGCACGGTACCATCTGAAGTTACCACTTTAACTGAGTATACATATTTCTTCTCATGTGGAGGACCAAACACGTTCTCTTCTCTGCAATAGAAGAACAAATATGGATCTAGTTAACAGTAGAATTTCCAACAAAATTCCAGCAATATATAACGGATTTCATAAAGTAAAGATTCATACTTGTATTCTGGAGGTTTAGGCAACCTCTTCTTGACACAAAGCACATGCAACCCATGAATCGCTTCTTCAATACAAAATGACATGTTGTTTCCAACTGCACTACCTCGGAACGACCCATCGTCAACAACCACCGATTGAAACAACTTATTTACAGCTTCTTTAGCAGCGTTACGCTTTGCAAATTTCTTCTTGTTAGACCAACCTGAGGCAACAAACTCGCCATCAACATAGACATCAGCAATACTTACATCTCGGGTCTCATGTCTCGGCCGCAGCTTGATTTCATAGCGCTTCCGGTTCTTCTGGCAAAACTCATTCAATTCTGTCCTGGGGTCAACTTGCAAGTTTTCAAGAGTAAATATAGGCTCCAAAAGAGGCTTAAATTTCTACAAAAGCACAACAGGCAAACAACAAAAATTCATAAGTTATATATAATTATGCTTAACTTCCACGCATTTACAAACTTATAAACAAAAGTTTTCACGCTTTCATGTTAAATAAAAGAAGATAAATATAAATACACACCATCCATAGTTTATCGAGATCAAAATTCAACTCGATGTAAACAGCAGCTGCCACGGATTCAACAATATCTGCAAGAACCTTGGCTTCTTCAGACTTACAATATACAAGCCCCAGCTCTTCTTCTTCATTAATTACAGCTTCAGTAAACTTCCCAACCTAAAAGTTTAAAATTAAAAAAGAAAGGTTTGAAAAAAAATATATAAACAATCACACTCAGAATCAGAAAACGCTTGACTAAAAGAAAAAAGAAAAAGACCTGAACATCAAGATCAGATGTATTTTGGCGGCGAAGGTAGCGATAAAGCCCATGACGAACGGCAATGCGGGCAAGGTTGAGGTTCTCAGCATTGGCGGAGCGTAGCTTAGTGATTTGGCCTTGGGTGAACTTTTGGTGGTCAGCCATACAAAAGAAGTAGTTGGTCACTGCATGGTTTAGAGCGCTGTCGCCGAGGACCTCGAGGCGTTGATAGGAAGCGGACCCAGCGACGGAGGGGTGGGTGAGAGCTTCTTCTAGAAGCTTCTTGTTCTTGAAGTTGTAGTCTACGATCTTCTCCACGGCCATCACTGACTCTTTCATGTCCGGTGACGGCTCAAGTACACGATCAAGGGATGTTGGGGTGGTGAAGACCTTCATCTTGTTTATGAATTCGTGGTTTGAAGTTTGGTGAAGTGATGAAACCAATTAGCTTAGAGAGAGAGGACACATAATATTGAAGAAAAAGCAAAAGAGAAAAAGAATAAAGAGTAAAGGTAGCACTATTACCCACGATTTGTGTGGAAATTGTCCAAAAAGAGGCTAGAAATTTGAAGTGATGAAACCTGAGTTCAGCTAGTAGAGCAAGGACCAAAAAGAATTTTTTTTTCCTTTTTTTTATACAAGTGATATAAGGTGGTATCTCACACACTGCCAATGAGAAACAGGGCTCATGTTATGTTGGGAATTGGCTGATGAAAAATCAGTATCCCACGACAGAATTGGGTGGTTGAGAATTTTGAATTTAAAAATACTCTGACTAATCTGCCCTTGTTTTTGAGCCTAGAACAACAGAGATTAATTTTTGTGTTGTCGTTTGGAATGTTGAAGAAGTTGGGCTCTGTACTCTGCATGCGAGACAAACTTAGCATGTAAATTGTGGGAATGCCAGAGAAGCTTGCAGGTAAATATAAAATTACGTACGTCTGCCAAACCAAATGTTAAAGGCTTTTTACATTGAAGGTGAGCTTTGGACCATCTGAAATTTACAAGCACAAACCAAACGTTAAAGGCTCAAATCCTTAGCATCCATGAGGAATTGAAACACAGCAATTTCCTGAAGTCCATGGCAATTCTTGCTTTCTCTAAAGTTTAAATATGTAAATTTCCATCCAACCTATGCCTTCAAATGCAGTAGGTAGAGCGTTGCGTCATATATAACGATATTCTTGTAAAGCCCGGATCATCAAGGAAGCTGCAGAATTGTCTGCATCTCTTACTCTCGACTTTTCATCTCCCTTCATGTATAGCACCCCATCTATAGTTGCAATTTTAACTGAGGACATAAATCTCTTCTCATGTGAAGGACCTTCATCTTTCTCAATGCTGCAACAGAAAAAACCAATATGGCTCTGCTTAACAAATAGAATTGACAACAACAGAAAAATCATGATAACGTAAAGATTCATACTGGTAAATTGGTCTAGGCCACTTCTTCTGGTCACAAATCTCATGCAACTTCTGTTTTGCTTCTTCAATATGAAATGACCCATCCATTAAGACAACACCTTCAAACGACTCATCATTTACACCCATTGATGGCGATAACTTATCAACAGCTACCTTCGCAGCATCAAGCTTGGCAAATTCCTTATGTTCAGAAGAACCCGAAGCAACAAATTCGCCATCAACATACACACTAGCAATACTCTTCCTCTCATCTCTCCAATGTTTGATATCAACATGCTTCCCATGTTTCTGGCAAAGCTCAAACAACATTGTCACGGGTTGTGGTTGACCTTGCAAGTCTTCTAGAGTAACTATAGGCTCCAACAAACCCCTGAATATCTACAAATATACACAACAATTACAAAAGGTCAAAGGTTATACTATAGTCTATAGCCAAATTGCTAAAACTTCTATACAAACTTAGCAAAACCAAGTTTTTCACTTTCGTTTAAAACAAAGAGAAGCAAATAAAGATACACACCATCCACAGTTTCTCCAGATCAAAATTCAAGTCAACATAAATAGCAGCTGCCACAGACTCCACAATATCTGCAAGAATCTTAGGGGCTTTTACAGACCCACCATATACAAGCGGTGTCTCATCTTCTCCACTGACAGCTTCAGTAAACTCCCTAACCTGAAATTTAGAAACAAATCGCAAACAAAACCCAGAGTTCAAACCATTTCATTTAATAATCCAAATCCTTTTTAAGAAAAATTACCCAGAAAAACAGGGGAAGAAGGAAAAAAAAAACAAAAAACTTCCCCCTTACTTAAACATTCACCCTCATATACAAAAAACAATTTAGACACAATTCTAAATTCTTTTCACCAACTTCTGCTATCACTAGAAAAAAAAACTAAAAAAATTAATATTTACGAAATAATTAAGCAGTTCCAACACACAAAACAGAGAAGCAGACAAAATGAAATTGCTTGAGAAACAGAAGGAAAGAGAGAGAGAGAGAGAGAGAGAGAGAGAGAAGTAGTTAATAGTAAGTAATGACCTTATTTAGGAGAGCAGGTGCATTGTGGCGAAGGTGGTGATAAAGGCCGTGGCGCACGGCCACACGTGCGAGCTTCTCGGTGCTGACGTTGGCGGAGCGTAGCAGAGAGAGGGTGCCAGGGTCGACCCCAGGATTAGAGAGGAAGAAGTAGTTGCTGAGCGCGAGGCTGACAGCGGCATCGCCGATGAACTCCAGGCGCTGATACGACGCCGATTCGGTGTATGAGGGGTGGGTCAGAGCTTCTTCTAGAAGCCTCTTGTTCTTGAAATTGTAGCCCAGGATTTGCTCCACGGCAGACACCGACTGTCCCATTTCTGGTGATGGATGCTGGACGCTGCGATTCATGATGGGGATCACGATTTGCTTGCAGAATTGAGTTTTTTTGCTTGCAGAATGAGTATGATGAGTTTGAAGTTGAAGACAACTCTCTGCGGTGTCGTTTTGAAGTTGAAGCACCCGATTCGTGTAGGTTGGCTGGGAATGCAAGTTTTGACCGTAGTCGTTTTATAATTTATAGTGACGAAACTAAAATATCGAAGGTTTTGGAAATATCAGTAATTCGAAACCATCGAAATATCAGTAGCGTGTAGGTTGACTGGGAATGCAAGTTTTGACAGTAGTCGTTTTATAATTTATAGTGACGAAACTAAAATATCGAGGGTTTTGGAAATATTAGTAGTTCGAAACCATCGAAATATCAATAGTACGAAACCATCGAAATATCAATGAAAATATCAGGAAAATATTGATATTGGTAAAAATTGAATAAAAACTACGGAAATTTTGATTGAAACTTTAGAGAATGTTTATTTAGTCAATTATTTATTGTTTTATTACCAAAAAAAAAAGGAAGGAAATGCATTGTATAATGGGTTCGACTAATTTAAGTTAATTATAGGGTGATTTTATTGGCACCCCCAAATTTGGAGAAATTATAGAGTGGTACCGTACTACCACATCAGCTAGTGATACTCCCACTCAAAAAATGCCATATGTAATTTTTTTAATAAATTAATTATTCTTTGTTACAACTGGACTTAATTTTTATCCGCTGAAATAGATTAGAAAAATAAAAACTTAAGAAAAAATAAAAAGAAAGGAGAATATCCCAACAACTCTACCCGCACGCCACCCCTCTGTCGTCTTCTTCCGACTGCCATCAACAGTCATTAGTAACACAAGTAAGAGAACCAAATCCCCATAGCCTAATAAATTGTTGCAACCAGGAAACTTCGTCATCATTTTCAATGAATCTTAATATCTGATGGAGATATTAGATCCAATAACAATCAACCCTTTCCATATCAATTTCATGCTAGTCGATTTGTAGCCTGTTTGTTACAGACCCACCTCCCATCCCAACCTTCTTCACATCTGCTAGTGAGACCTTCATCAATGACAAAATATACATGGATGTTGGGGTAGTCACCAAAAGGTTGAGAAAATTGCAGAACAACAACATAGAGAGAGAGAGAGAGAGAGAGAGATATATATATATATATATATATATTTATGGAGGGAGGAAGATAAAAGAGAGGGAGCCCTAAACTAGAGCAGCAGTGCGAGGTAGGCTTGTTGGGGTGGGCTGTGGCTATTTTATTTTATTTTTCCATTGTTTATTTTTTTAATTTTATTTTAAAGGGTAAAAATTAGGTTAAAGTCCAGTTGTAAAATAAAATTTGAGTTGTTAAAAAATAAAGACACATTGCATATTTTGAATGGGAGAATTATTAGCTGATGTCGTAATACGGTACAACTCTATAATTTCTCCAAAATTTGCTCTTTGCACCTCACATTTTCTTTACACTCCACTAAATTTTAGTAAAATTTAAAATTACTCACTACACCCCCATTTTTCTTCCTAAATTGCCCTCATAAACTTCATTCCTTAACTAACCTGTGTAAATCTCATCCCATATCAAACTCGACCCCATTAAAAACTCCCTCCTCTTGCAAACACACCCCATCACAAACCCCCTGGGGTTTCAAATGCACCCCATCGCACACCTCACCCGATTTACAACAAACTCTATTGTCGTTCAATTCTTTTCATGAGTCGTTCAATTTCATCCCAAAAGGCATCGAATCCCCTTCTGTGTGCGTGCGGCTATGAGTTTTTTTTCTTTTTTTCCATTCCATATACATATTATCAATAATATCCCAATATTTTCTTGGATCCGAAATTATCGATACTTATGCTATAATTGCATGAATAGGTTCCAAAATATCATCCTCCCTAAAAAAAACGATAATATCCCCAATATTTCGCCATATTATCGATATTTTAAACCTTGCTTGAGAGTAAGTTCACCAACGGTTACTTGATGGACAACACTTTTTTTTTGTTTTTTTGGGACAATGATGGACAACTAGGATGCATTGAAATTGGGCGGCCAGATTTCAACCAAAATTGGAGGTTGTAACTGCAATTTCATCCAACGGATCTGAATATATATATATATATATTTTTTTTCAATTTAGAAAAACGGATTCGAACCAAAATCTATGGGATGAAATCTAACACACAAAAATTAAGAGAAAAACGAATTAGTACCCCAAAAAATCACATTTACATCCCCGCAATGCATATCCCAATTGGACAAGAATAGAAAATATATATTTATAAGAACACACAAAACTACAATCCACCGCCGTTAGAAGCCAAACAACATTTCCAAGTAAAATGCTCTACCACTGGATTAACACTTGCATGGAACGGGGCCAATAATGCTATGACAAGCGTAATAATTTTTTAACGTGACAGCATTATTGATCGGGAATAGCAAAATAGTGTTATCCCATTGCAACCAAGTTTTTCTCCTACCACTGAGGACTAGAAGCCCCAAAACCAAGTACTATGTATTGAAAACAAAATATGTCAAAAGAAAGGCTGACTTTATTAGGAATAATTTTGCCATAATGGAGGTTTGTTAAATAAACCGAACATTTCAAAAAATTACACATGAAATCAGCTAAGAAGACAATTTCTTCTGGGAACAATTGATTTCTCTTGGAAGTCAATAGTTAAAAGCTTCGCCTTTTCAGGCCAAGTTTACAGAAGAAACATTTTGTAATTACAAAGATGAAATTTTGCCATTAGCACTGAGGTAGATAAATAAGAAGCATGCAGCCCTCTCTGATGCATAAACAGCAGATGGCAGCCCAAGGACAACATTGAATTATTTATATTAGTTCACCATCATATGATCAAACCCTCCTCCGGCCTGAAGTGCAGGAACCCGACTAACCGCAACATTGTGAAGCAACTGCTGCAGCCATCTCCTTGTAGTTGGATCTTCCTGAAACCATTGATGAAAACAATTAACTTCTAAAGTGAACCAGACAATTGGGTCGAAATAAAACAATAGGGGATATTGAAAGCAAATGTTAATCAAGACAATTGGGTCTATACAAAACAGTAGGGGAAACTGAAAGCAAAAGTTAATCCAGACAATTGGGTCTAAAAGCTTATCCGACTGAAAGCCTTTTTCTTTTTTTAAATATCTCGCAAACTATAACTGATCTACGGAGACAAAAAATAGAAACTAGAATCGGTGATTTTGTAAAACACAACAAAGAATTCATTCAAAAAGATTGACTTGATTCGTATTCTGGGGAGAAACGTGACGAATTTTACTGCATGTGAACATCATGTTATATTGTGCACCAACAGTTTAGGGTAACTGGTATCAAGGCAATTTGAAACCACCTAGTGGAAACATTGAAACTGAAATCAAGCAGGCTAGAATAAGTATTAACGTATCCCTAAAAAGCAAACGTAAGAAAAACAACAGTAGGGCTAACTACTATGAAGAACACCAAAACATGCATTGGACAAAGTTATGCTACCTTATTTTCAGAAAGTAGGGTGTGATATGACTTGGCAAACACCTTAATGATTGCCAGTCGTGAAACAGGCTAATTTGTACTTTTCTCCAGAATACCCAATTAAGATCAAGTATGAATTGAACAACATAGGTAGGCAAAGAAGTTCTTACACGAAGGCAACCACTGAAGGTAGCATCTCTTAATGCCTCTGGAAGACAACTTCTTAAAGCATCACAAGCCCTGCATGATAACAGACAAAGAACAGGTCTATAAAACCATAAACAAGAGAAATTAAAAACACAAAAAAGAATCTACTTAATTTAACCAACCTTGCGTTATCTGACAATCGAAGATAACATCGGATAATATGTTTTAATAAGCGCGATGAATGCTGCTCAGCAAGTGATGCTACCATGGTTCCCAAGACTCGACCTACTGCAAAAAACCGCTCAGCTGTAGTACAAATATAATCCAAGCCCACATCATCTAACAAATCTTTTGAACAATAAATGTGGCCACCTGCCAGAAGAAAACCTTTTGTCAGGCAATTACATACCTTACATCCAAACTCAAGCAATAGGGGAAGGACCCTGTACAGTAAGCTATACGAAGATCGGATGATGCATATAAAGATGGAAAAAAAGTGAAAAGATAGAAAAGGACACTCAACTGTTTTTGAGAGTTCACTACCCATTTCCATAGTGCGCAGGCACAGTGGAATTATTTCTGTTGACAGAAGAAAACTAATCACTTCTGTATCATCGACCTGGTAAAGAGAAGTAAAAGAATTAATATTCCAATTTCCAAATATACCGATCAAAGTGATATGACTTCCATAAAAATGTTGAATACTTCTTATCAAAATAGCAGGATCTATCATGGTAACATAATTCTCCTTTTCAGGTTTCATGCGTTCATGTGTTCATGTGTGAGAAAGAGTGAGGGGAAGAACTGCACAGAAAAGTGCATGTGTAGGAAAATATTACAAATGATAAGCAGTCATGCATATTTAATTTGATACAAAATAATACTTATGCAGATAAAGCAATACTACAGAATCAACCATGTTCTTGTTTGTAGTTCACACTCATAACAGACTAAGTGTCATCAAGTTATACTTGGATATCTTGTTGTCAATTTACTGCAACACATTTTATCACACAAACAAATAAAAAGACAAATATACATATCAGTTTGTGCAATAACATGGCAGCAAGAATAGCATACCTTCACTAAGGCACCAATGACACCTAAGCTAGTAAGCCTCAAGTACTCGAAAGGCCTTGACTTGCTTGTTGTATTAAGGAAAGGGTACAATATAAGGGTATATGAGCTGCCAAGGACAAAATCTCAGATGAAATAATCCTTTCTTATAATATTTAAAATTTAAATGTACCAGCACAAGAAGGAAATTTAAACCTCAAGTACTCGAAGTTGCTTGAGAAAATTATGCTTATATGTACCAGCACACTAAGAAGGAAATTTGAAGCCTTCGAATGTAAACAAAATAAAGGTTATTACCATTGAGGAATAACATTCTTGTGTCTGGGTGAGAAGCCACACACTACAAGAATACAAAAGGAATATGAAGCACACAATAATAATAAAATATGTAAAATATAGGCCAACTCCATTAAATAGAACATAACTGTTGTTCAGAATGAAATAAGTGCATCCACAATAAATAATTTAAAAGGCGACATCAATGGACCTGAAGAAGAGCTAGAGCATTGCAAACTCGATTTGATTGAGCAGGAGTTAAATTTGGTGGTGACAGAACAGGGTAAATTGAAACTATCTCCTGCACACAGGATGAGAAACTGAGTGAGAATCCATAATCAGGAAGTAAGACAAAAGAGTGCCCAGTAGTGTTGATTATCAAACAGGCAGTCAAATGCTGGAACGTCAATGATGCATGGACATATGTATAGCACACAAGGTGAGTTCTATATAGAAGAAAAATGAAAACAAGTTAAAAGCATGTGCCAAAAATGCTACCTAGATAGAAAAAAAAAAAAAAAAAAAAAAAAAAATGCCCACAACAGTACCTGCAGAGCAGCAATAGTACCAAAAGAATTCCAACAACAATGGAGCCAAATCTTGAAATAATTCTCTCTTCTACAAATTGAAACAGAAAAGAGATAAGGAGGGTTAACCAGGAATACACATAGCGCACAAAAGTACCAAAATGAATATGAGAATGCCAAATTTTATTAAAAAAGACCATCAAAACCAGAAGGCAGATGCAAGTCTATTTGCAGCTCAAAAATGTTCAACAGTTGCAACTTAAAAATTTACTCTGTTAAGAAAACATGTGCACAGCTCTCATGGGGGTGGCAACTTTATCGAACAGGTATAATCATAACGATTTTTTTTTTTATCCCTTAAAAAATAAAAGAAAATTTGAACAAAATAATCTTTGGAGTAAGTGCTTCAAGGCACTGTTTGGCTCTTCACAATAGCTGGGAACAATAATCCTTTGGCCAAAGTGCTTATGCATAGAAACCAAGTCTTTTTCCAGATCTGACATGTAATTGTCACTAATGTTGTAGACAATGAAAAACCCAAACTAATAAAGAAACATTACTAAATTGTGCAGCCCATTTAGTATGTTATAATGATATCTATATCACTTAAATTCCCTCACCTGTTTGAATTAGAGCAGAGCATCCAACCCAAAACCAATTGGGAATGGATGGAGACACCCAAGATCTTATAAAGTATGACGTGGGATTTATACTCTCAACACCTCCCTCACGTCTAGTGTGACATGAGCTAAGCAAGTGTAACTGTCACTATTGTTGTAGACAATGAAAAACCCAAACTAATGAATTATGCAGCCCGTTTAGTATGTTATAATAGTATCTATATCACTTCAATTCCCTCACCGCCGACCGAAACAGAGCGGAGCATCCAACCCAAAACCAATTGGGAATGGATGGAGACGCCCAAGATCTTATATAGTGTGACATTTCCAACCTGCGATTTATACTCTCAACACACACCCTCAAGTGCAGTGTGACACAGATATCAATCGACACGGGAGCATGTGTAGCCGTTGGGCCCGACAGATACATGACAGAACTAGAGCATCCAACCCAAAACCAATTGGAAACAGGTGGAGAGGCCCACGATGCAATGCAAGGCCTTACATCCCGCATGTGAGATATACTCTCAGCAACCACTATACTATTCCAAATCCAGAAACACAAAACAGGTTCCAGCTATGAACTTTTTCAATAACCACCTTAGTGCAAAAGTTAAAAATTCCATCTCAAAAGGAAATTTATTAAACATAATTAAGGAATGTACACCTGGAAACATGAAAGAAATGCATCAAACTTGGATTTTTTATCCAACCCGGGGAATAATTATAGTAGGTGGGTCCCACATGCATGCTGTGACTACAAAGATGCTAATTTTCTTAAATGGAAAAAAGAAAAACGCAAAGAACCCCCTTTGCGCATGAAACACATATTATGTAGAACTAACTATCTTTTTTCCCCTTTTCCTTGGGTTCTCATCAAATACACAGAATCGCACAGCAACGAAATGATGATAAAACAAAAGAAAGCTAAATAGAATCCAAACTACAAACAACCCCAGATTTTAAGCTTGATCATACCTTCAAGCCCAAAACCCCATAAACAAAAAAGAAAATAAAACCCTAAATGGAACCAATCAAAGACAGAGGAACTGAATTTAGAAACGAATATAGCCAAAAGATTATACCTTCGAGAGTTCAAGGAGGGCATTTTCACGAAGATCAGGGTTACTGAGTTCGAGGACCAATTGCTCAGCTGACGCCATTTTTGGCTCCTTGTTAGGCTGAGCTCCGGCGGCACTGGAATTAGAAGCGATCGGGTCTCCAAACGGTGCGCTCATGTAAAGAAACTAGCGCAGATTCGGCATTTCATAGCAGAAGACTTTCAAAGCTTGAAACTTTTACCATCAGTTTCTCACAGTTTCCAATTTTCTACGAGTTTCCGTTGAGGGAGAGAAAGAGTGAGAGAGAGTGTGTAGAAGACAAGTTCAATTTCGAGACGAGGAATTGGATTTATATTTAAAGCCACGTACTTTATATGCGCGTGGCAATGACCCTTACATTTGAGTTACATGAAGTGACACCTCAGTTTCGCTAGGAAATAAAGTATTTACGCTTCAAAAAGAAAGTGTGTCTACGCTCCACTCTGTCCCATGAGAGCAATTTAAAGCTCTGAAGCACAATTAGTAATTTGTATCGCGATACGATAACACAACTCGAATTCGACATGACGATTAGCATATTTAGATTGAATATTGATTGCATAAAGTCATGTACGGCATTGCTTTAGATAAGATAATTCAACTCGTATTCGACAATACATGTAACAGATTTAGATTGATTATGAATTGCATGAATTTATATAAGACACGAACTTCTAGCTAGTTAGATAGAATGTGACTCAAATTTGACATGATGCTTACTAAGTTTGGATTAATCATTAATTGCAGGAACTTTCATATATGACATGACCCACTAACTTGTTTTGATAGAGCGTGACTCAAATCGAACATAATGCTTAAGAAATTTGGATTGGTTGTTTATTGCTTGAACTCATATACGTCACAACCAGTGGCTCGTTGTAATACAACACGACCCGAATCCGATATGACGCTTAAAAAATTTGAATTGACCATTAATTGCACGAACTCATATACAACACGAACCCCTAGCTTCTTAAGATAGAATACAGCTCAAATCCCACACAATGCTTAACAAATTTGAATGGACCATTAATTGCACGAACTCGTATAGAACACAACTCGACTCTAACATGGTTCTTAACAAATTTGAATTGACCATTAATTACATATAAAAAAAACATATACAACATGACTCGTTAGCTTATTATGATAGAACCGTATAATCCGACATAACACTTAAAATATTTGGTTTGATCTTTAATTGCATGAACACAATTGTGACATGACATGCTAGCTCGACTATATATTTTTTTAATAAGTTAACTTGAATTCGACAAAATATTAAGCATATTTGGATTCACCACTAATTGCATGAACTTATGCATGATATGTCCTCAGATTCGTAAGATAACTCGGGTTATAAATAAGTCAACTCGAATATGACATGATGTTTAACATATTTGGATTGACCATTAACTGCATCAACTCATGTATGACATTACCTGCTAGCTCGAATAAGAAGTTAATATCAAACTTATTTTGACATGGAAAATGATGACTATGACGTAGAGAAACTGACACAAATGGTATTGGAGGGGGGAGATTTGAACACACGACCACATGTATGGATAACTACTCTTAATCACAAGGCTTTTGCAGAGAAGTGAGCATTTTAAAAGTCTTGAAAGCGACTGTCTAGTTACTATAACTACTTTAGTTTTCAAAAATTGATTGTCAAAATTATTTGATGAAATAAGAATATAATTGTCATTTCATGTATATGTTTGACAACACGTTCTCTTGAGTCTCAAACTTCACACAAAAAGGGGAAAATTATAAATACATTCTCCTGCCTAATTTATACATTCTCCTTTAAGGGGGGAGGGTGAGAGAAGCAGTTAGGAATCGAAGTGTCATCTCACAATTGCCCCCCATCCAAATATTCTGCTCGAACCCTCTTGCTGCATCATAACATACACTTCCTTGAGTTCACTTTGGAAGAAATGAGATCAACATGCCAAAGCCTCCAAAATAAAGAACCATGGTAATGCAGAGAATGGACGAACATACTACCTTTCTTCTTGAACGCTTAATCTTGTTAAAATACGAGATTTCCACTCACAGACCACTCACAGAAGGGATGAGCAACCATATAAACTTTATAACTTGATGAGTGGTATGTAGTAAGTGTTAGCCTTCGTGCTTGAATGTCGGCTTACAAGTTACTCTCTGAGTGCAATATTTTTTATATTCTCAAAATTCTACTTATTTGTAAACCTGCAAATAAGAAAATTAACATATTCATGTCAAAATGTAATCTAAATTCACCACCATCTAGTATATCACACAGTTTGGCATAGTGAGAAGAGGTTTTGGCCTTTTAGGTCCCGCACAGTATCAGTGGGACTTGAAACAACAGAACCAAAAGCAAGATTGTGGATGTACAAGAGCAAAAATGCCTCAAGATATAGTGTTTGTACCAAAATTATTTCATATGTATCCAAATGCATGCAGTAGATCAAGTACAACAGTCAATTATCGAGTGAGGCTATTTACAATTTGAAAACAAAGCATGGTCCTAAACAGATAAAAAAGCCCTTTTCAATAGTTGTTGCATCTCCTAGCCATCTAAAGCAAAGAAAATTACTAGCCACAAAACAAGATACTGACAAAAGAAAAACTGCAGAAAGATTTACCAACCTGGGCAGTCCTACTGGGCATAGGCACTTCTAAGCAGTTTCGGAGGCCATCGCCTCTGCAGAACCAAGATGTCAGAACAACATAAAGGGCAGAACCAAAGAAAGTAACCAGAATTGAATTCCAAAGCATGCACACAAAGATAAAAGACAGAAAATAAGAAATATTGGAAAGGTAGTCGTGGAGTCAAGGAAGTTAACACTAACCTTTTGCTAATAGTTTTCCTCGAATACTGGTCATCCTTTATAAGTCCCTGACCTCCATACTTTATTTCATCCGTATTGAGTACAAGCTGTGGTCAGAAAAGTAACAGATTTTTATTTAATTTAAGCCCTGCACTTCTATGCATAAATATAATGTTTGACATCGAAAGCAAAATACTTGGTTCTTCTGTTCCCTGAATTCATGTACTCATGGCAGCACACAGATAATAAATAAAACAATAAAAATTAAGAGTTAAAAGCCCTATCTCCACTTGATAAACTACTAGAAGCTGTTTGTCAAAACCTACTTGATACTCTCCAGCCTCTTCTACCCCTATTCTGTATCCTTCATAAGAATCTGTTGGATGAAAGTTAAATACGAAGAGAAGGGGGCCTCTTAGGTAAGATATTACCTGTAAAGGGAAAGAAATATTTTAATCAGTAAATGGCACAAAATTCTTTCCCAAATGCATGCAAGCACACCAAAGTAATTGAATGGAAGAGTCACCATACCATGTTGTCGTCATTCACATGATGAATGCTGGGTAAAACTCTTGTAAGTACTCTTTCATTTTCATCCAAATTCATCAAGTCCTAGGAAAGAGGAAAGATCAAAATTACTTTGCTACCATGATATCACGGAACATTAGTCATTCAAGACAGAGACCATTTAATAGTTCATAAGAAAAATCCAAAATAGTAACTTTAAGTTGAACATGCTTATGGTGAAACCAAGAGTGAGCACACATTAGAGAAACTGCATTTATGGGGGAATTTATAATTATTAGAAACCTGTACTAGATGGTATTCAGCAACTATTAACAACAGCAGATGCCACAGAAAGACAGCCAGAAGATCATAACATGTAAGCATGTCAGGGCAATAAGATGGTAACAAAAAGTTATTATTTGACACCTTGTCAAATATAAACAAGTTGCGATGCAATCCTTCCTTTGCAAGAAGATCCCACCTACGCTTGGCAAGTGAAAACGAGAAATTGTTGCTTGGCATTGGGAACTCAACCCTCTGCAACATGAGAAGGATCATTAGTCACATGAAATAAAGTTCTTGGTCATGCAGGGGCCAGTAACCTCACCTCTGGATGTCCAAATTCATTGCCCATGAAGTTGAGATAGGCACGGCCACCAATTGTCAAAGTAATTAACCTGATCATCTGGCTCAAGATCAAAAATGAACATATAAATAAACAGACCAAACAAAAACATGAGATGTGAACAACAGCTTACAAAATTTACACATTACATGTTGCATTCATTGCATGTGTTTTCATGCAGATGTGCATTATGCGTATATAAGAAGCAATGCATCTGTGAGGGCATGTGTGTATATAAAACAGTACACAAATTCTGCCAGTTAGACTTTGATTTTCAAGATAATAAAGATGTGTTTACTATAGAAGGCACATAGCATACCTTGTGCAAGGAACAACCTCTCAGCAGTAATTTCTCTGTGTCATGGGAACCATCCCTGATTTCACCAAATAATATCTCCGCAAATGACCGCCCTCCAGATATCGACTGATATGCAGAATGTAATAACACGGTGTAGCAATAAATCAAACACAAATAAATTAAAACAAGGTATAGAATTTATGATTAGGGTATCTCAATGGAGTTGTTGATGTACAAGAGATTAATACCTGGTTATGATTTCAGCATACACAAGTGTTTTATCTGCAAATTTTCTGTTGCCCATTAATGTGTTGACAATCTGCAATGTAGGTTAACATCACTGAATTTTCACCTTATGGAAGGGAAAAAAGTAAGTAAATTAACAAGGAAACGACACAATCCCCACTTGATTCTAAGACAATATATAACAATTAAATAATACAACCTTACTCATGCTCCAATCATGGTCTGGAACAGTCTGAAGAAAAGATGACCACATCTCTGACACAGAAAGATTGACACAATAATCAAATCCCAACCCGCCTTGAGAGGTTGGTTCACATAGCCCAGGATAGAAGGTTGCCTGGAAAATATATCAAGAATAAAACTCTGTAGAAGCCACAAATTATACATAGCACTGAATAAATTCAGTGAGAACATGAACACCTCCATAAATGAATGGACTGCATTCATTAATTGATAGAGTGAAGAGAAATTAAAATTGCAAGTCTCTGCATATGTAACCCTAAACTTTGCATGGAAAAAAAACAGTAAAAAAAGAAGATTCAAATATGTTTTTTTAATCATCTTTAACGATATCAATATATCTGCTGCTCGACTTGAATACAAAATCAGAATATAAATTTTGGTAGAGCCAATATCCCAATATGACCTGGACTATGGACCCCACTAGCAGCTATGTGCTTTTTTTTTCTTTTCTTTTTTTCAGAGCCTTCTATGAAGAAAAACAAATGTTTGTGAGTTTCTTTATAGGAGTTCTCATACTATAAACAAACATTTAAATATCAATTTCTCACATCTTCGGCAATTGTTATTATATCTGGATGCAAAGCATGAAGTATCTCATTTGCCAAAATGAGATATAATAGTGCGTCCTTATCAACATATTGATTGCAGTACCTGCCAAAATAGCAAGATTGAGTTTTGAGTTCATAGCTAGCCTGAACCATAACATATGGTGAAAAACTCTGAAATCAGTTGAAAGAGAGTATTTAGGAGGTTGACTGTGAAATACCATAGTAGGTCATAGAACACAAAAGTTTACATTTTCTAGTCCTAGAAAAGTAATTAATTTCCAAACCAGTTATGTTCCATCCTTAATTCAACCAATTTTTGTCTTGGTCAATGTAATTCAGTCACCAACATATTAACAGAAGCAGTTGAGGTCTCTTCTTATATAGACAATAAATTACAAACAAACAAAATACAATTATGATTAATACAGACTGCATGTCAAATCCAGCTTGTTAAACTGTAAATATTCAGCAAAAGGATAAGCATATAAGCGATATCTTGGAAACTCACGATGCCTTTGTTAAGCCGAAGAAACTTTGGCAGTTATTATAAAGTGTAAATAATAATATAGGAAATTATGGAAGTTTCAATCACTGCCTTACTCCTCCAAGTCACCAGTAAAAGAAGCAAAACCATTGTGCGTATACATCATTGATGAGAGTGAATGGAAATGAAAACCATCAATTTGGTACTCTGTGGGCCACCTGTAGAAAATCTCTATTATTGAGATAACACACTGAATCAAAAGGAAAGAAAGAAACATAAAATTTCCAAAAACAAAATAATAGCAGATAAAATGGTATTGGAACACTGAATCAGGCAGTTCAATGATGATTTTGCTTCACATTTACCAGTTCAAATTTGAGAGCAGGAAATGCAGGACATCCAGATCACCGTATTTAAACATTCTGGTACCCCAATACTTGTGATGTCCCCGTTTACCTATATAAAAAAGTAATGTGATTGCAGAACAAGGTGATATATGAAATGAGAAAAAAGGCCAATATTGCCAAAGAGAAAAATCCCACTTGGCTAGATACCATTATTACTAATTTCATGGCATAAGTTTTGGATATGGTAGTCTTTATAGTACTTAATCCAATGACATAGCTAGGTTTTGGTTGGTCTCTCTCCCATGCCTCATATATTACCACAATATGACTTATACTGGCTCTTCAAGCATTTGGGACCTTTTCTTATTTTTTGGCCTCTACAAACATAGCAGGAGGGCTAGCTGCCTATTCTAATAGCCTCATGGCCATGTTCCAGATCTTTCTATCAGTCTTTGAGGTTTGACAACTATTCCATAAACAATTCACTTCAGTCCCATGAAAGAAAGAAATCTTCAATTAGTTAGATATAGCCCTTGATAAATATTAAAGGGACCTCTCCACCTAATGACGTAAATTTTTTGGCTTGTATACTTATTTATTACTTTTTTAACAGGGTATGATTCTTCCCAGATCTAGGTTTGATCTCAAGACCAATTTCTGTTGGCCCTTCGAGCACTTAGGATTCTCTTCCCCCATACCGATCAGATCCAACCAATCTCTATTGTGTTGGATTGGGTCAGTTTTTTCGCATTTCAATCAGTTCTGGTTTCTTAGTAATCGTAATCTATCTTGGCTCACTATGAAACAAATTTGGGGCGTCTACCCCAAGTGAGATCTACTGTCAATTAAAGAGCAAGCACAAGTAGTATAAATACCTGTGTGGAAGTAGCAGTCATTTGTTCCATCAAATAGTGACAATCCAACCATCTCATCTGCAGCTGAGTAGGAATGGACAATGTCTAAGAAGACCAGCAGTCCTAGTCCTGTAAAGTAAAGAAGGTAGGTTGCTTTCTGTAAGCTTTAATCGTTCAGTAAATAATGTAGGGGAAAAGATGCGGAAGAAACATGTTATTGATGCCAAAACAGTCGAGAAATAGCATTCTCTTCATGAATATTATTATTAAGAAGCATGAACTGAAAATAATTGTTACCTAAAGAGGCTTATGCTATTGTCATCCTGTGGAGTCATATCTTTTTGTCAATTATTTTTCTTTCCTTAAAAATAAATAAAAGAGCTGACAGACAACTTTTTATTACTGATGCCATCGATATACAACAATTGGAATCTACAAACGAGATGCAAACCCATGCATCATGAAAATATAAGCAGCAACCTTTACATTTGTTATCATATGTCAAGCTCACATGTGATGCAATACAAAAAGAATTTTTCAGCAAGTAAAATATCTTTTGCAAAGCTGAACAGGCCAAGCAGAAAATCACATAGCCACTGCTAAAGTGTACATAAAATCTTTGAGGTTACAGGTTATTGAAATGAATGGAATTGAATGAATAGTGATCACCATGTGCTTCATCAACCAACCGCTTGAAATCATCAGGAGTGCCATATCGGCTGCTAACAGCATATAAATTAGTGGCCTGAAATCCATAAAATTGTTTTATCACATTTGTTGAACAGCCATGTAAATCAAGATCACAGGAAATTCTTTGAACAAATTCATCTTCTGGTTAACATCATATTTATATGGGTGTATCCAAACCATGGAAATTGACAAGGTAGAAGTAATCAATGTTTAAATGTGCGAATAGAAAGAGCAGAAAGAATGTTTGACTCACTCTATAACCAACAGTGAAATAATCTTTGTGCTCAATAACTCCAATCAGTTGGATTGTATTATATCCAGCCTCCTTTACATGAGGAAGGACCTGTAAGAAACATAACGAGTGCAAAATGAGGAATTTGACTGCTATAATAGCAGATGTAAGTTTAATAACACAGCAATCCAGGAGTTGCCTTCTCTATGAAATCACTGAAAGAAGATATTTTTGGCTCTGATCCACTTATGCCAACATGGCATTCATAAATACGCAGAGATTTTGGCACTTTCGGGCGTGAATTTTTCCATTTGTATGCATATTCTGGCGGCGGATCCCAGTGGATAGCAAAAGCTTGCTCTCCTTCTGCATCTGAAGGTAACCAACAGAGTTCAGATGAAATAAAGGAAACATAATATGCCTACATAGATAATGACACAATGCAGAAAACATAATAAAAGGGATGACAAAATACCACTATAGAAAAAAGCATATCATTGCTTATCAGAAGTTCCTAAAGAAACCAAGAGCATGAGAGAGAGAGAGACAGACAGACAGACAGACAGACAGAGACAGAGACAGAGACAGAGAGACAGAGACAGAGACAGAGACAGAGACAGAGAGACAGACAGACAGACAGACAGACTGACTGACTGACTGACAGAGACAGAAACACACACACACAAGCAACCAGAATAGTCTTCACAGGTCCTGATTGTACAAAGCATGGCTGTAAGCAGATATCCTATTTACCTGATGAAGTAAAATAGTCAATAAATTCTACATAATCTTCAACAAAGGAGGAACAAGCAAAAGCAAAGCAAATTTACCTGGTTGCACATAAGTAGCCCAAGCAGGTACTCGTTCCAATGGCCCACTAGGAGTGTTAAAATAGACCCTGTACTTGCTCCCATGAGGAATGCAAGGACTGTACTTTTTCAACCATGCCTGCCTTCCTTTGCGTGTCTCCAACCAATATGCCAAGGGAGGCTTCTTTGCACGAAATTTCTCTTGTGATACAGGATCAAGCACAACATTGAAAATGTCATACTCTTTTCCATTGTCAATCACATCATAGCAAGGTGTATTACTAGGTAAGTCATCTTTATGCTGTTCTTTCCATGCTTTATATCTTGTTTCTGCGTCCGGTATTTCTTCAAGTTCCTCCAATGTTTGAGGACCATTAGGCCCAAAAATCTGCTCATATAACTTTGCTGGAATTTCATAACGGTTCTTTATAAACCGGTCTTCTCCAGGTTCCCAATATTCATCATTTGCTTTCTTAAAGATTTCTTCAATGGGAACACCACTGTCACCTTTATCATAGTCATCAATGTAGTTATACTGTTGAAAATAGAGTTCATCTGGTTTTTCTCCGTCCCTCAACTTATCTTCAAGAATGATGAACCAGTATCCATAGTCATCATGGCCAAAATGACCCTCTCTTGCACAGTTCTCTGTAGGAGACCACCCATTGAAATCACCAACCAGTGCACAGTAGCGAGCACCTGTATGCGACAAGATTATCAGACACATATCATCTGGTAGATGGAAAGTCCAAACAATACAAATTAGACACCAGAGAAACAAGTTCTTATCATGGTCCCGAACTATTGGTGACTGGTCATAATTCAAGCTGACTAGAATTTGAATAAAGACCCTGTTCTGCATCTAGTCAATATATGGTTCAGACAGACAAAAAATGACCATAAGAAAGTTACAGATGATGTATTAACAGAAGAAAAGGTTAGAGAAAAAACTCTAGGCCATCTTTAATTATCAAGGAAAAATCACATGCCAGGGGATCAAGTAACAACATTTGAGAATCACAGTGACAATAAATTAAAAATTGAAAAAGGAAAAGGGTTTAGGCTTTTATCAAACCTGGAGCCCACTCCATATAATCCTCTCTATGTTCCGGGTGTCGATGAATACCCAATATCTCAAATCTAGAGAAGAAAAATAGCAATTACATCACGAATAGTGAACCTTAACCACTAAAGGATCAGCCTTATTTTTTTTTTTTTTTTTTTTTTTTTTTTTTTGGTTTCAAATTGCATTGCATAAGTTGTGGCTATAGCATCAACAACTTCACAAACATAATGGAAGTAACTGTTCAATCATTTGAATGCAAGTCCTCTTAAGTTATAAAAATGAGGTTGCAATTAAAAAAATAAGACAAATCCACTAGAGTCAGATTTAAGACTATAGTTTAACTAGCATTGGAAACAATATTGAAATGAAGTAAATGGAAGTTTAGTTTGCAACAAACCCTGAAGCCATATCTCGGAGATCAATGTGACGATTGAAAATTTCATCCGTGAGGTCCTTCAAGGATTTGTGTCTGCATAATCAAACCAATTTTTATTCACAACCTTCGAAGCAAAAAAGAATACTATTGAATTGAACTTTAAATTTTATTAGCTCACTGCAATTCTTTCAAAGTGAAACCAGGCTCAAATTATCGACGTATCAAAGTTGGAAAATTTTCTACTTTCCCACAGTTTTGACCAATTAAAAGAGAATGACTCATATCTATATACCTTTCACGGAGGAACTGAGAAAATTGTTTATGGGAAATGCCGAATTTGGTAAGGAAGCCAACTGGGTCAATCCCTTTCTCGCTGTCCGTAACGCTTTTCTTCTTCTTTGGCCGCTTTTGCTGTCCTTTTGGTTGCTCTGTGGCTGAGCACGCTATTTGTGTTTTCTTGGGGAAGCTGATTCTTTGAGTTCTGTTTGGGAACTGAAATTGGAGAAATGTGCTGTTTGGATAGAGAGAAAACTTGGTTGAAAGCGAAAGTGAAGTCATGGTGAGGAGTTGTGGTATAGTTGTTGTTGCTGCTGCTGCACAGAGAGAGAGAGAGAGAGAGAGCAGAGAGCAGAGAGCAGAGACACTGGTAGTTCTGGGTTTGGGGTTTTGGGTTTTGGGATAAGAAGGCGGGTACTGTGAGTTTTGTTGTATTGTATGAGAGCTTTGAAGAAGGAAATAGAGAAGTGTTTGAAATTTTGAGTTAGACTGTTAGACTGGGCAGCTCAATCTACAAAGTTATATGCAGGCCATTTAGCCCAGCCCAAGACCCAACAATGAGGATTGCAGCTGACGCATTAATGGGTCGGCTCGGCCCGTATACAAGAATTTCTTCTGTTAAGGGTTGCAAAAGAGAAAGTGTTCCGCCAATGGGGTCTAGCCCAATGGAAATGGCTTTAACTTGCAGACAAGTGGCCTCAAGTTTGAACTTCCATGGCACATTGAAAGTGTGTGTATGAAAAAAAAACCACCTGGTCCAGTATCATTTGTATCAAAAAAAGAAAAAAAAATAGAAGAGAAAGCCTTCCATGTTGTGCCTAGGGAAGTTGTATACAAAAATTATTCCACTAAGGGCATTTCCATTGGACAGGTGTTTTTTTTGGTGAGTCCTAAAGAAATTAAGCATTTCAGGTATCTTCTAAATCCTAATCCAAACCCTACATATTAACAATTAAAAATTCAGTGTGGTATTGAACTCTTCCACTTCCACTCATGTAAACAGAAATTTGAAAACCCCCATGCACTTAATGAATGTTTGTGTAAATCCCCCACCCCCAAAGAGCTTGCACTAAAAAAAATAAGTCAAAATGTTGATTCTATCTAGAAATATTAAGGCATGCATTAATTGCATATTCTAATTTATGACTATAAATTTGAAAATTAAACAAATTAGGTTTACAATTTTAATTCCAATTCATACACAAACCAAACATATGAATGGAAATGAAATGTTATTTCCTAGTCACTTTTCCATCATTACTAAACATAGAAAATGAATTTTCCATTTCAAGTATGATTTAGTTCAATAAAAGTCTCAAACCGCAAACCCAACCAAATTTCAATAGGTTTGGTGTAACCCTAAAACTAGTAGCACAACTAATCAAATTGATCCATTCAGTGATCAGTTTGGCTTGATTTTATTTGGTGGGTTAAGAAATTATTTTATATTCTCTAACTTGTACCAATGGATACTTCATATTCTAAATTGATCAATAATTGAGAGAGCTTCAAGCTGAAGAAGATGGAGAAATATTCAGAGCCAAATGTGATTTTAGTTTTCAGTATGAAATGGTTGATGTCAAAGTATGAGATTAAACACATGAATAACTGGTGAGAGTAATTAAATCTAATGTGTCAAAATATAGTATAATTGATACAGGTGTTTGGTTTGGTTCATACAATTTTCAATAGCCTAAAGGGTTCATAGCTTAGTAGTAAAAGCATTTACATGCATATCAATGGTCTTCGGTTCAAAACCGCAATGACACTTCATCCTTCCCTTTCCAAACTTTGACACCGAAAAAAACATTTCAAGATTAAACAACCTAGAAAAACCAAAAACCCTCGCTTTATGAACTGTTAGTGTCGAATGCAGTAATAGTTAGCACACTAAAAGTTGACTTCATGGGTTTTTATTACTTCAAAAGGGTGAAGTGTTTTCTACTATGAAATGTAGTTCTCAGGGGCTCATTTGTGAAGAACTTAGGTTTACAACCGATCTGCCCAACCCACCCTAAAGGTGTACCACAGACCGTGTGAATGTGAATTGCAAATGAATCCTCTTAAAAAAGAAAACAAAGATTACAAAATCAATCCATATTGGAAGAAGAAGAAGAAAATCGTACCCATAAGCTATGCAACTATATCATATTCAATATATTTACCTTAAAATGTACCTTATAATTAGCAGGCTAGCCATGAAATTCAACTCCCTTCCTCTAATACATATAAAATGTACGAAAAAAAAACAAAAAACAAAAAGCTTTCAATTTGGGAGGAACAGATTTTCTTAAACCCTTTAAAAGAAATTCAATCAAAACAAAATTAGAAACAAAATCACATGGTGGTATCATTCCATTTCTATCTGCACAAACAGCATATAAAAGCACATAATCCATAACATCAATAGAGACATGTGATTGAAGAAGATCACTGGTAAACAAAAATTGAAGTGAAAAATATGAAAATGGTTTCCAGCTTGGTTGGTCAATTTGTTTGCTTTGTGTTCTTGGTGGTGGTATCCATTTCCAGAGTTCGAGCTAAGCAAACAGTTTTTGATGTGACGAAAAACGGCGGCGTTGCTGATGGAAAAACTGATAACAGCAAGGTAATCTTTCTGAGTTTGTCTTAATCCAATTGTTAAGATTATGATGAAGATGTCAATATTTATTTGTTATTTTTATTTCTAGGCCTTCACTGATGCATGGACTCGAGCTTGTCAAACAAATGGAGGTGGTGTGATCTTATTTCCAACCGGGAAATACTTGGTAAGGCCAGTGATATTGAAAGGGGAATGCAAGGGACCAATTGGGTTGCAGATAGAAGGGACCCTACTGGCTCCCCAGGGAGTCCAATCTTCGGTTGATATGGACCATTGGATCAAATTCCAACACGTTGACAACTTGGACATCAATGGTGGTGGTTTATTGGATGGGCAAGGACCCTCTGCTTGGCACCATAACAACTGCCTGGAAGATCCAGAATGCATGCGACTCCCTGCAGTAAGTTCTTGCCTTTCATTTTGTTCAATATATATATCATGGACTTGAATGCGAAAAGTATATATATGGTATGTCTAGTTTATTGCTAATGTTTGTGTTGTGTTTGCCTTATTTTTTTTTCAGAATTTGAGATTTGATTTCGTCACAAATCTAAACATAGATCACATAACATCGATTAACAGCAAAAATCTCCACATCAACTTCTTTGCATGCCAAGACGTAAAAGTTACCAACGTTAACATATCAGCTCCCGCTGAAAGCCCCAACACCGACGGAATCCACATTGGTTCTTCGTCCAACGTCCAAATTTTGGACTCCGTGATCGCCACCGGGGACGACTGCATATCCTTCAGCGCCGGATCAAGCAAGATCACCGTTAGCGGTGTTCACTGTGGACCAGGCCATGGAATGAGCATTGGAAGCCTTGGCAGGGGAAATAATAATGATGTTTCTTTTGTCGACATAAGAAACTGCTCCTTTGTTGGTACTGACAATGGAGTGAGAATCAAAACATGGGCTCCCTCTAAACAAGGCACTGTTTCACATGTTTACGTTGAGAACATTCGAATGGATCAGGTCAAAAACCCTATAGTCATCGATCAAAATTATTGCCCTGCTCATAGGTGCAGTGCAACGGTACGTAACTATAAACCAACTACACAGTGTACGCCTAATTATAGATGTGGTATACAATGTGTTTCTTTACGGACGAACTGTTAATATAGTGTTGATAACATACCAACAAAAAAAATACACCAACATGTTATCGATACAAAATCTGTCCTTTAACAGAGGACGCACAGATGGACGTGCTCCCCTAATAATTTATGCACATTGTGACTTATAAATTGGATTAATCGCGTTCATTGCGTGCAGGAATCATCCCAAATTCAGATTGTAGATGTCAAGATGATTAACATTTGGGGTACTTCAAGCACACCAAATGCTGTTACTCTCAAGTGTAGCGAAACGAAGCCGTGCCAGAACATTCAGTTGAGAGACATCAACCTAAGTTACAAGGGTCCTGAGGGACCGGCTGTATCAGCATGCTCAAAAGTAGATGTTATAACTGACGGCAAACAAAACCCACCAGCTTGCACAAAACCTGTAATACAGGTGCCCCACAACTTCGACGTCCTAAATTAAATAAAATTCCTTGAAGAACAAGATTTGCAGGGTAATTTTTCCTTCTGCAAGTCTTGAACCATATATTTATTTTACTTGTGTAACTATAATTTCCTATGATCAGTTGTAACTCAGTAAAAACAGTATCAATGTAAGCCAATCAAATTGCACCAATAATAATAAAAAAGTTACCATATTTTGATTCATTCCTCTGTTATATTTCCCCACGAACCTTATATTCCCACCATCTATTAGACTTGCATTTGCTAATGATTAGACAGTATCAATGTATGTCCATGAACTCAATCTCCATAATCAATCTTGTAACCTAGACCTACCATCTATTGGACTTATATCGTCTAATGATTAGATACAGGATGCTAAGGGCTCATTCAGACGGGACCATTGTGCAATTAGGAGGACAAATCGCTATGACTGGAAGAGCCTTCCAACTAAGACAGAAAATTAATTACATATTAGCACGAAATAAAGAGTAAAAATTGGTGATTTTTTTCCATTTTATTGTCGAGTAGCTGGTTTTCTCTGTAATTTTTTCTTTTCCCTATTCTCTCAATTTTATTTAAAAGGGGAGTCCAACCATTGGCTCTGTAAGAAAGACTTCATAACAAATATATCAATACATGAAAGATTTTGTGGTACATGATTTGATTACAATAAAGGTGAGGAGCTGCATATGATGAGCAGAATGACAGTTAATGATTGTTACACCATACAACTGAAAAAGAGGGATACAAGCTTTGCCAGGATCAATAAACACATAGAAACACATAAAGGCATGAAGGGCAGGGGTTGGAAGATACTAATCTGGTTGCTTCTTAGCATAATCCCTTGGCCCAAATATGGTGGATCCAATTCTGACATTGGTGCTGCCCATTTCAATCTGCACAGGACAATCAAGAGTGTTAATCATTTGTTCCTTAAGATGATTCTTAAGTATTACATTTAAAATCGCCACAAAGGTCTAGGTCTTCAGATAACCGCTGTATGATCCAATCCAACCATTGCTTAGTAGAATACTGGAAAATAAGTTCAAATTTGCACAGGTTGTTCTATTTAAGTTGTAATAAAGGATATAGCAACAACTGTCATTCAGCCGTTTGGAAAATATGAGTTTGTTGCAATTTCTTTGAAGTTCAATGTCAAGATAGGGCATTTCATACCGCTTGTTCAAAGTCACCAGACATGCCCATTGATAGCTCACAGTGCTCCTCTGCCATATCAAGTGCCTTGCAGACCTCAGCTCTACACTTTGATAGCATCTGTTGAATTACAAGATATAAAACCTAATCAAATTAATGAACAACAAAAAAGACGGGAAAAATAAATGAAATATCCAAAAGAAAAAATAATATAAATGAAACTCAGTAACGGGGACTTCAAACATTAAATGGATATTTACTAGTCCTTGTAGCCAAAGTGATACTACTGGCCAAAAATAAAACCAAGGCGATACCAGTACCTCTTCCTTTTAATAAGTAAAGGTCTTGAGTCCAACCCACAGGAGGACTAAGGTCAGGGAGGGGAAAGTTTAACACTAAATTACACAGCCTACAAATTACCATTTCATTCCCAAAGAAAACAACATTAAATGAGTATCAAATGATTCAATTCTATTTTAAATATATAGGAAAAACAGAGGGTTTAGGGTTTAGGCACTTAGAACAGATGACTTCAGTTTGTGAGACAGACAACTTATTTTGATTGGTCTGTGAAACAAGAACCAAACAATGCCATTGTAAACAGTTTCCATGCACCCCACTATGCAAGTAAGAAAGTTACCCTGAAATTTTCTGGAGTTGATGTGTAGTCTGGCATCCCTATTGTCATTAAGCCAGAAAACTCTAGATTTGGGCACCGAAATTTGACATGTTTTGCAAGTTCAACACAACCAGAAGGATCGATACCAGATTTGGCTGCAGAAAATATCAGAAAAACACATGAAGTAGGTGAGGTGGGGCAAATTAAAGTTTATCTCTGAATTACTGGAAATAGAATTTAGTTCAATAGTTATAAAGAGTATGAGCCTTCTTTCTGAAAGTGACCAACTATAACGTACCTTGACTGCATAAGGTTTTGACTGCCTTAACAAGCAGCTGAGTTAAAAGTTGAAGGCCAGGCAAAGTGTCTTTTCATTGGTAAAGGACAAGTTAAGATATGGAGACATGAGATGATATAATTACTGAACTTATTACGCACATAGGTTGTGCTCTTCAGAGGAAATACCACATGTTGCATTTATCATGTAGAATTTTTGTGGTTACATTACAACCACAAAGTTAATTGAGGGAAATATACTTGTATGCAGCTAAAAAGGGAGAGCAGGGAAGAGAAAGATTCAAACAATTTCAATGCCATACTAATGCTCAATTGAACAACATGACTAATTACTGCAGGAACGAGTGATGATTTTGAAATTACTTACATACTTCTCCACTGGTATTTACTTGGACCAAAACCTTTAAAGGATTTCTACCAAGGTTTGACACTGCTCGATCAAGATGGTTTGCAATCTGTGGATTATATACACAAAGTAACACAATGTCATTTTGAGTAATAACACACGCATAACACCTGCACAATGATTAATCAACTGAAATCCACGAAGGTTTCCACAGCATATTACCAATAATTTGGCTAATAAACAATAATATGAAGGTAAAGACAAGTCCAAATAAAATTTACAGAAAATATGTTAATTACCTTCAGCAAATAAAACAGATATTTGGACTTGTCTTTACCTTCTCATTGTCTACGCCCTCAACCAAGGCCAGATTCGGGACTCCAGCTGCATATAGACATAGTAACTTAAATTATTAAAAGAATTCCCACATAAGATTCAAAGTAGGATATGATCTCTGTCTCAGAACTTATAAGATTATCATAAAGCCAACAACCTGCAAATTGTTGAATTATGCCCAAACCAAGACACCCAACCCTCACAATATGAAACAGCAGAAATCTAAAAACAGTTGCAATATTTTCTGAGTTTGAGATTCTGTACCAATTTATCAAAAGTTGGGTTCTTTACAAATTTTCAAATTTTCCTACTTTATCTTTTAACTCTGACTCTCTCCCCAAATGGGACATTCTATTCCAATTCTGATTAAATCACTTTTATATCTTTCCAGTTTTAATTTCATTCCAATGTTCATTCCAGCAACCAAACACCACGTGTATATCTGTCATGTAAAAGTAAATGAATTTTGAGACTGTAATTGAAAACTGAAAACAAAAGGAAAAAGCAAAGGATACCTAGAAGCAATTTCGCTTTGTTGCTCTGCAAATGCCCAACAAAATGCCATTCTATGTCTTCAGGAAGCTGCAGACATAAACGTTTGCAATCATTAACCCCACATACTTATAGAGAGAGAGAGGCAGAGAGATGTACTCACCTGAGGAGCTTTGTCTAGGATTTCCTGGACGTAATTCTCGCCAAAACGACGGTGGCCGGCCTCGTATACTTGGCGGATGAGAGAAACGGGTTTAGTCTTCGACACAGCTACTACCCTCACCTGACCCGGATTCCGACTTGACCGCTCCGCAGCCTGCCGGAATCGGAGCATGACCGACCGGAGAGCCGAAACGGCGGCGTTTTCGACAGCTGGAGCAGCCATGCAAGCTGTGTATTGGGTTTCTTCTTCCTGGGCCTTGGTCCTGGTTTCTGTGAAGTGTGATGTGCGAAGTTGTGGGGTTGATACGATAAACGTAAGGCCATTGGGTTTCTTCTTCCTGCACCTTGTGGTGTCTATTTGCACCCATCATCACTCAAAAAAAAAATCTTATTTTTCACGTCATCCTCATTTTACCAATTTTTTTTTAAAAAAAAATTTCTTAAAGAGACGTCTTACTTTTTTTTTTTTTTTTTTTTTTTTGTAAGCTATATTGGAATAGGGGGAACTTCTGATTTTTTATTTTATTTTTGTTTACATGCATATTTGAATAAGGGGAACTTCTGATTTTTTGTTTTTTGTATACAAGCGAAGCGATATTGAAATAGAGGGAATTGAACTATATCCCGTTCTTTGTTAGTATGCTTGACTTATATTCTCAACATGCCACATCATTTAATTATCATCAAATTACTAGAAAACTAACAACACACATTTTTTTAAAATAATTATAAAAAAAAACATTAAAACAAAGTAAATCCTGTATGAAATGATAAAATACCCTTAAAATGATGCGGAAGAATAGAAAGGGCAAAAAGAGAAAAAACTAGATTTGAGAATTTGGGGATTTGACGAAAAAAGCGAAAGAAATTGATTCATAAGAAACCTGGAACATCACTAGGTTTAGGCGGCTTAGATAGAGGGAGTGATGTTTGCAATGGTCGAGAAGGATATTGTGAAACATAATTGGAGGAAGTCCGTGGTCTGACATTTTTTTAATTTGGGAATTATCGTACCCGCCTCTAGTTTTTCTTTAAATTCTCCTCTGTTAGAGCCGGGAACAAGAGGGGAATTTTTGCCATCCCTAGATTCCTTAGCTAGGGCATTTGGTACCAAGGAACAATCACATTTAAAGGGTGTAACTGATTTTCAATTCAATTGATTTTTTTTTCTGCCACCAACTAAGAATATGTACTAATCTTCTTTAACTAGAAGATTTTTAAAGGACCTAAATGATTTTCAATTCAATTAATTTTTTTTCAAGGATGACATTTGAGATGAGATTTAAACTATGAACAAGTTCGGATCATGAGACAACATTGAAGAAATAGCAAGATAAACTAATTTAATTGGCAATGTGAAGTTTCTAACAATCAAGTCAAAACCAAAAAACCTAAAATAGGAGTTGCTCAAGAAGTACATCAAGATCAAGTACGATCTTAGCCAATCTTTAATTAATTCCAAAGTCCGAGCTAGTGGGCCTGGGCCCTGTCACGCTTGAGGTGCTTCTGCATTATTATCTGCAGGTACTGTTGGGGTGGGTGCTTGTCTATTTTTACCTGATGTAAATATGAACTTACCCCAAGTAAAAATCTCCATACTCAACGCAATGACAGCAAATACAGAAAGGACCCCGATGTAAGCCCATAGCCAGGTTTTATCTGGCTTCAAGATGGCAATGCCATTAAATATGTTCACTGAGATCACAGCCAGCAGTGCATACCCTAGAAAATGATGGTACATGTCCCAGTACTTGCGGTAGTCATCACTTGGGGTGGGCTTTAAACGCAAGGCAAGCATCTACTATACATAAAACCATGTCAAGCTTCACCAAGGCCACGAATGTTTTGTATGGAACAACGTTTGAGAGATGACATGTGTCAAGAAATAAAATATTAAAATTAAACTTTAAACACATGTCATTTTTTAATTAAATTATTCTGTCATTCAGCGCTGTCACGTGATACGAAACAGTTTTATGTGCACAAAAAAAACGCTAGGCCATCATGTGTCGGAAATAAAATATTAAGATTAAACTTTAAACACATGTCATTTTTTAATTAAATTATTCTGTCATTCAGCACTGTCACGTGATACGAAACAATTTTACGTGCACAAAAAAGACGCTAGGCCATCATGTGTCGGACAGATTGAAGACACAATGGAAGAGAAAGAGAGAGAGAGAGAGAGAGAGAGAGAGAGAGAGAGAGAGAGAGAGGAGTGGTAATTGTACTTACTTGTAATGTGGTGAATGCAAATATGAACATGGCGAGAATTCGGTGAGTGGGGAAGCTATAGTGTCTGGAAGCATGTCCAAGCCATAGCCCGATTGCCCAACCAGCTGTGCCAAGGCTGTAACCAACAATCTGGCAGGAGACGTGAAGGACATACCATTTTTGACAATGAAAAGGATATCTTCTGTAGTACCTTGCTATAATCACTCCCAATGGCAACAGTGTTCCCCACCCCACAATATTCAGAATCCCATGCACCTATTACCAAGCAAACAAAAAGTTGTTGATAAAAAAAAAGAAAAATTAGTAAAACGGTGAATGATCTCAGTCTAAGTTGGCATATCTTACCTTTCTGAGGTGGTGCCGGCGATGTCCTATGCTAATACCGCGGGCAGAGGTCAAGTTCAGAGTTTCTGTGCTGTCCACATTCTGGAGAGCAGTGGAATGCATCTTAGGCTCCAGATGAACATCATCAGCTTCAAACCCAACTTGCCAGACATGGTTCAGCTTTGAAATGTTATATGCAGCTGGATCAGGAGGCAAAATTAGGGTTGCAAATATTGACATGTATTTATCAGCCTGCACATCACCTTTCATGGTTTTGACGATGACATCATCAAAATCTTGTGAAGGCTGCAGCCTACAACCCAGCCTTGTATCACTGGTGATGTTGTACTTCCTGACTGCCAAAGTCCCATTGGGCTGTGAAATGCCTATAATAGCCCTGGTCCCTACCATCTTCGGCCGGTGTGGACCTGGGTTCACACCCCAGGCTAGCCATTTTGCTCTGTCATCACCAGAAATTTTAATGCTGAGCAAGATGTCAATTTGGTTGTTGCTGTGAATGTTCCACCCAAATTCAGCTCCCAGAGTGATTAGTTTCTTGCAGTTGGTAATGTTCATGGGATTGATGGGGCTGCAATTGGAATATTGCTCAGAAATTGTGAAGAGAAAGGAGGAAATGGTCAATGTCATGAGAATTACGGATTTGGTAGTGCCCAACATGTCTGACAAATGTACTAATTTCAGAGTTTCAGTTTATGGTATGTACTTAGGTTGTTATGAGATGTACGCATGTTTCTTTTTTGTTTCTTTTTTTTATTAAAATATTGGATAAGATTAAGGAAGAAGTTAAGCATAGTTTTTTAAATTTACTCACTCTTTACAGCTTGTTGGGTGACACCTCGCATGGTGCTTTTTTCTATGGGAGAAATAGATACCTTCATAAGTAGCCCAGCCACTTTTCTGCTGGCTTTAGGAATGACAGGTTGTGTATAAATCAGATTCCTTATTCTCCAGTGAAAGTGAAAATCATATACTTCATGTTGTTGCTTGTCAAATGCTTCAAGACATGTTCTTGTGAGGCCTTCATGGTGAAGTTTGGATGAAATAAAACCCAAGAAGGGACTAGTTAATGAAGATGTTGTGCAAAGTGCCGCAAGTGGAAATTTTTAATTATACCGGATACAACATGTGGTTGGTGTACCATTCAATACACATTTAACATGTTGAATTATTCTCTAACTTACTATATTGCTTTTTATGAAATGTGGCTGACTCCATTAGAAATACCCCACATATCGTAAGTCTATTAGATGGTACACTAGCCACGTGATATATTCAAAACATCCAAAAATTACTTAATTCTAGTGATTAATAGCTAACCACAACACGACAAGTGTATATACGGAACCTTCATAGCTCTAGTTTAATTAACATTAATTAATTTGCCAAAAGTTGAAGCCATCCAGGTGTGATCATGGGAACAAATATATATAAAAATATATATAGAGCTAGGGACACCATAAGGTGTTGTCTATGCTTTTACCATGCAAGTTCGGGAACATAAGATAAAGAAAATCAAATAAGAGGAGCTCATGTTTCATGTGTTTCCCAATATACTTAACCCAACGGACTAAGAAATTCTCTTCACCTTTGCTTTACGCCCTCAACTTTTCTTTCTCCCAAGGTTTTATGACCCCAGTCTTTAATTACTTTGGTTATTTTTATATAATACATATGTGATGTATTAAATTAATGCAAACCATATTATTTTTATTATTTTTACGTACCTAGGCTATCTAACTCATAAATGGTAAAATAATGACCCACTATGCATAATTTATTTATGTATTTTTGTACATGTGATATTGGGAGAGAGGAAATTGAACCTAAGACCTCGGGTGTATAAGTAAATACTCTTAATCACTTGAGTTACAAACTCCTTATTACTTCGACACAAATATTCTAATTCTATGAATTCAGCACGCTTTTATTACAAGTTGTTTGACCTTTGTGCATGTTTCTATTAAGGATGTAGGATGGTACATGTCTATGAGACCAAATCAACTTTGGAGGACATTAGACTCGCCCACTTATGGTGGGTGGGTTGGCGGGGGCAGACTAAGCAGGAGTCAGCACTACCTAAAATAGAAGAAATCTTAAAAGTGTCATTGTCTACAATATTCTTAAAGTAGACCACATTGGCTTATATTTTTGTGGATTATGGCCAGAATCCGTTAGTACAAAAAAGTCTATCCATCTACTCTATTAATCTCAATACAAAATCTTGAACAACAAAAAAATCTCAATACTAACGAAATATTTACTCAGACTTTTATCGTACAATTTTGAATGTTAAATGATGTAAGACCGTGGTTCATTTGTTTTATGAGGTTATTTTGGGGCTAATTTATCACGATCCAAGGAAGGGGACGCCATACACTATAGCACAATCTCTGGAGTATCATAAAGTCATAGCTAGAAACATTGAATCCTTCACTTTTAAATTATACCCTATATACTAATTTGAAATGTAACTTAATGAAAATATTACACTAATTTGCCTACTTTCTTTAGGATTATGCATGTTTATGGCTTAGAGGGATCTGCGAATAACTTGAAACTTAAATCTTAAATTTCTAAGCGTAAAATGGTATCCTTCGCATATTAAAGTAAGAATTTTATGTAAACTATACTAAACCATGATAA